TTGGCAAGGAGATACAATAAAAAACAGAAGGAAATGACAAGTTATGAGTCACAGAGTTGGAATGGCCTTGTTTTTATAACTATAAACATACACATATTCACGTGTATTTTCATAGGGAAAAGACCCTGGAGAAGATTGGAGTGTGTTATTACAGTAGTGGTATCTTGTGAGAGTTTTTGCCCTTCTTGAATTTACTACATTTTATGAAATTTTCACTAGGACTCTTATCAGCAATACAGAAAGACAAATTCTTTTTTCAGAGAAATCACAAATGTCTAAAAGGGACTAGAAGGAGAACACAGCATGATGAACTCAGTGAGCTGTATGATGAACTTACCAGAGTAGAAATTTTGGGCTCATCCACCAGGCTGAAGAGAGGAAATGGTCACTCCTATTTAGCAGAAGTGGAGGGAGAGTGGAGGGGGAAGAATGGGGAGGGAATAGGAGGAGGAGAGATGGGGGAGGGAGGGAGGGAAAGAGGAAAGGAGGAAGAGTTTGGTTTTATTTTCTATTATGGCACAAGATTTTTACAAATCAAATATACAAACAAAAATATTATTTAGGAATTACAAGCATTTTAGTTAGGTCATACATATTCTGATGTGATTAAATAATACTCAGGAAGGTAGATTGAGACCATTGCCCTACTTAATTATGCCAGTTAGAAAGATTTGTAAAGGCAGAAAAAGGCTATTCCTGTGCCCATTTAGGTTTGTGTCTGTGGTCTGCAAACTCAATTGACAAAAGGCAGATTAACAAGAGAAAGCAATACAAATTCTATTCATATTTTTATGTCACTTGGGCTTCAGAGAAAAGTAAAAGTTCAAAGAAACAGTTATATATCCAAGCACAAATACACCATTTTAGCAAATGGCAATTGCTGTGGAGAAATGACTTCTTAAAAGGCGGGAGATGCCAGGAGCTGGTGTCTCAAGCCTTTAATTCCCAGCACTTAGAAGGCAGAGGCAGGGGGATTTATGTGAATTAGAGGCCAGCCTGGTCTGCAAAGTGAGTTCCATCCAGGACTGTAAACACAGAAAAATGCTGTTCCAAAAATAAATAAATAAATAAATAAATAAATGGAAGGAAGGGTATTTGGCTTCTGGGGTCACTAGATTGTGACTAGTCACTAGTAACCAGGGCACCCCTTAAGGGCAGTTGGTGGAAAATCAGGTTTTTCTGGGAAAGGCATACTCATGCCCTCACCCCAGTGTTGATTCCTGGTAGCACAGCACAAGGGAGACTCACACTTTACCATAGAGGATACATGCCCTGCTCTTAGGCAGGACAGGGGAGGGCAGAGACTTCTTGATTCTGTTACTGATTCCCAATTGCCTTCATCTTGAAATGACACCGAGGCTAAGGAACCAGGTGTTGATGAGGCCAACTGTCCCCATATCCTCCCAGACTTTCCATGGCCCTTTAGGGTGGAGGGTGGTCCCTTCCAGTTACTCAGAATTCCCTAAGCTCTTAGGTAGAGAGAGTTAGTGAGTAGAGACCCCCTGTGTTAACCCTAAGTCCACATCTGGAGAGAGGAAGGCAGGACTTATCAGAGATCTAGATAGCATCTGCTCTTGGTCTATGCAACAGTCTAGATTCCATGAGGTTGTCATCCACTGTAAGCTCAGCGGCAGTCATGTTAGGAAGAAAAATGAAACAGAACTTCAAATCCCCAGTGTGGCAAATAAGAGGAGCTATGGAGTTTAAACCCCAGCAGGAAACTATGCAATTGCCAGGGAAGTTACTGCTGTGTTCGTTGCTGTCGAGAAAAAAAGTACTATTTCCCTTTCAGGAATGACTCACACTTCTGTTCTAGGAGCCCCTCTGTTATGTCTTGACATCTTCCTTACTGAGGAATTTCTTGTCTTTGCCCAGGCTCCTTCCTGCAAGTCAGCTGATTCCCCATACCTGGGAATGTTCTAGGTGACCACTGCTTCCCTGCCTAGTAACTAGCTCTCCCTCAAAGCTTTGTGAACACAGGTCTGGAACGTGTGTCTGCACTGGTAGAATGCTTATCTGGTATCACAAAGTCCTGGGTTCCATCCCCAGCACCCCATAAACCAGCTATGGTGACTCTGACTTGTGATCTCAGCACTAGGGAGGTGGAGGCAGAAGTTCAAGACTAGTCTTGGCCACAGCGTGAGTTCAAAGGAAGCCAGGCTACAGGAGACGCTGTGTGTGTCTGTTTGTCTGAAGGTACATCCAGGAAACAGAGTTCCAAAGTGATTTCAAATCAACTCAAGCCACAATTGGACACTTGAGAGTTTAATCATTCCCAGACTGAAGGGCCTCTTGTAGGTGGGACAGGAAGAGTTTGTGTCTACAGCGCTCTGCTGCAATCCCTTGGACATCCAGGTTTTAAGGACCTTTCAGCTTGCAAGTGGACGTGCATGACTCTTGAGTAACTTGGTGGATGGCCAATAAAGTCTTCAGTGTTCTGAGAGCATTTGAAACTCTTGAAGTCTTCCTCTAGTGTCTAGAGCCCATTAACTTTCATATGTGAGTGTTCTGAAAGCCCAGATTATGTAGAAAATTGTGTTTTCCCCTTTTCAAGTTTCTGAGTTAGTATAGTTTTTTTTTATTTTCTTTTCATCTCAAATTCAGTTTAATTTGCCATCTTTTATTTTGCTTGCCACATAGTACAAGCATTGGCAGTCTCTACTTTTAGAAACCTGTGCTCTCAGGGGATAGGGAGAGTGTGGCATTCACTAGATGATGTTCTGTTTCCCTTCTGAAAAGGATTACCAGTGTCAGCCATCGGGATAAGTACTGTTGAATGAGAAGTTGAAATGGTAGCCATTGTTAATCTACAGTATTAATTTTTATTAGAATTTTGTTCTGTGGATGGGACACAGCTCTGCTGGTAGAACGTTTGCCTAGCATGCACCAAGGCCTGATTCCATCCGTAACAAAGAGCAGGGTGTGGTGCTGCATGTCTAGAAGCCCAGCACTGGGGAGGTAAAAGCTGAAGGATCGGAAGTTCAAGGTCATAGTTGACTAAATAGCAAGTTCCAGTCAAGCTGGACTTTATGAGACTCTGTGTCAAAAGAAAAAGAAAAAGCATGCCTTTAATCTCAGTACCCAGAAAGCAGAAGCAGGCAGATCTCTGTGAGTTTGAATTCTAGGACATCCTTCCTGGTCTACATATCAAGCTCCAGGCTTATAACTTTTTTATAACCATCCACAACCACACCACACACACACACACACACACACACACACACAAAGATACGTTGTTGATTCTCTTATTTGTTTCAGATCTGGAGAAAACCTACAGAGCATCAATGTTACATTTACGTTGATAACACAGAAATGCACTTGTATTGTTGGGCCCTTGCAGGGAGAGCTGTTGAGCTGTTGGACTGTGGAATTTACCCTCCTCCTTTCAATGCACGCCTTTTCCTGTGCCTCTGTGTTCTAACTCCTCCCAGGGTCATCAGGGGAAAGCTGTTCCTGACAGACCAGAGGAGGCAGTCTTCCAAGCAGGCCATTCATTCTGCAGCAGCCCTGGGCTCACAGGCACTGCAGGGTTAATTGAAATAGTGTTTTCTGAAAATTGGGCTGTCAAGTCACAGGACTCAGAAGCTGAGGCAGGGGTGGGGAATTGCTCTGCCTTTGTTGTTTCTCTTCACTTTTGAAGAAAACGGTGTTCCATTAGCTCTTAGTGTACTGTTGAAATATCTGGTCAATGCAAACCAGGTGTATTAGGCCATTCCTCTCTGAATCCTGTAAAAGAATATTGTGTTTATGCATCCCTTCTTTTGAGCTATTTCTTTTCGGTAAGAAAAAAAGATTCTGTAACATCCAGGCGATACAACAAATATACAGAAACAGCTTTCCAGGGAAAGTCAAACGCATTAATGAAAAGGCAGTGAAAATGCTCAACATGTAGAGCCTAATCATAATTTTTATTTTAAAACTATATGTAATTATTAATGATGACAATGTGAAGAGTCAAAGGAAAGGGGATGTGATTATACTGCAGATATCTATGAGGAATATGAAAAATAGGATTGCAGGAGGTCAGAGGTAAGAAAGGTCTTCCTAAGGGGGCAGCATGGCTCAGGAGGTAAAGGACTTGCCATACAAACTTGAGGACCTGAATTCAACCCCCAAAATCCATGTGGAAAAGCTGTGTGTGATAGCACTGACTGATGATTCCAGTGCGTTCAAGGATTCCAGTTCATGAACAGTTGTCCCATTGGGGGACTATTGACAGCTAGCTAGTCAAGGTGGGAACCCATGACAGAACAAAACTTTTCTGGAAGTCCCCACCACCCTTCAGGGCATGAGGTTAGCAAGCAAGACAAAAAGTGAGACTCTCTTGTTGGGAAACTGGAAACTGACAAAGAGGAGCAAGCCCTGCTTTCTGACTGTATCTCTTTCCTCCCCATCATGCCCTGGGACTCATCTCCCTCTCAACTGCTCAACACTCCATCCCTTCCTTCAGTTCTCGCAATCTTTCCACACCCCCTTCTGTGATGTCCCCTGAGCATTTGAAGTGGTGATGCAGATACCCTGTTCAGAGCTGAACACTCTGTTGTTCTGAGTCTCTGTAGGACCTGTTACCTACTGCAGGAAGAAGTTTCTCTGACCCAAGCTGACAACAGCACTAACCTATGGGCACAGGAATAGACTTCTAAAAGGTAGTTGACAGCCGTTGCCTTCCTTTAGAGCAGTGGTTCTCAACCTGTGGGTCTCAACCTTTAGCTCCAAAAATATTTACATTATGTTTCATGTCAGTAGCAAAATTACAGTTGTGAAGTATCAACAAAAGTGATTTTATGGTTGGGGGTCACCACAACACAAGGAACTGTATTAAAGTGTTGCAGCATTAGGGAGGCTGGGAACCATTGCTCTAGAGGGTGGATGGGAAGATGAGGGTCATTGACATCACATGGGGCCCTGCTGATTCCAATGGAGCCTGCAGGATAAGCTGTTTAGGTCACAGCAGTGCTTGTTGGGGCAGATGACTGAACCCTTGTGTCACTTTCTTGCAGGTGGATTTGGGCTTCCTGCGATTCGTCACTGCTGTCGGGACACAGGGTGCCATTTCCAAGGAAACCAAGAAGAAGTATTACGTCAAGACTTACAGAGTAGACATCAGCTCCAATGGAGAGGACTGGATCACCCTGAAAGAGGGAAATAAGGCCATTGTGAGTTTGCTGCTGCCCCTCCCTTCCCCCTCCCCAGCTAAAGCCTTTCACAAGCACCATCAATTTTTATTTGTTTGTGTGGGGATTTTTCTGTCGGGCCTGGTTTACTTTTTGAATTGATTTAAAATGAAAAGTGCAATTAGAGGTTTAAATCTGACCAAAGGGTCTCATGTTACCAATCCAAAGGCCAAGAGGAAATTACACAGATGTCACTGAAAAGACAGCAGAAATAACCAGCCAAATTAAATGACAAACTGGAGAATCACCTTTACCACCCACCCCCACATACACACACCCCACCCCAGGACAGATAATGCACAGCCTAACACTACCCACCTTAGGAGTTCCTGGTAGTTGTTTGGCTTCATTTACTTGGTTTTTTTCCTTGTGTGTCTTCATTCTTTCATAGATGTTTTTCTTCTTTCCTCTCTGTAATGGGCTAGCACGCTTTCATCTATGCTTGTTGCTCATTTACAAGTGCAATTGGCTGTGCCTTGTAAGAACAGGAGAACTGTGGTTATTTCGATGTGTTCTTTCAGATCACACAGACAGCACACTACTCCGCACTTGAAGCTTCACCCCTGGGGCGGCTGGGTCCAGCCTCAGAGCCTTTGCCCTATGCTCTGTCATTTAGGAGCTAAGATCTTCTCCTCAGCCAGCCTGCTTGTTTGATTTATTAATCAAAAGATTTTTGGGAATTCATATTTTATGTTACCTGAAATCAACAGCCTGAGGGGCTGGAGAGATACTCGGCCAGTAACTGCTTAGCACACAAGCATGAGGACCTGAGTTCCATCTACAGAACCCATGCTTTCAATATATAAAAGCATGCATGTATATGCATGCATGCCAGTGAGACGGCTCAGAGGGTAAAGGCACTCACTGGTAAGCCTGACAACCCAAATTCCATTTCCAGGACCCACATGGCAGAAGTGGAGAACCAGTTTTCACAAGTTCCACATATGTACCTACACATGATAAATAAATCAATGTTTAAAACAGGAAAAAAGAGGCCGGGACTGTATGGGTCATGCTTGCCACCCCAGCCCTGGGCAGTGGAAACGGAAGAATCCCTAAAACTCATTGGCAGGCCAGTGAGAGAGCCTGTCTCAAAAAACTAGATGTGTTAGCTCTGTCTGAGAAATGACACCTGAGGTTTCTCCCTGTCCTACAGACACACACACACACACACACACACACACACACACACACACACACACACAATGCAAGGAAACTAGTTCAGTAACGTTCATGTGTCCTCAGCTCACCTTAGAACACCCATGACCTTGGCTAGAACCAAGAAAAGCCCCTGCAGTATGCAGTAAAAGACAGATATGGATTCTCTCGATCAGTGGCAAAATCTCTCTCTCGTGGAGGGCAGGCGAAATGGAGGCAGGTGTAGGGGGGGAGCTGCTCTGTGGGAAGAGAGGCCCTTGGAAGATTCTGAGGACAGTACAAGGGCTATCAAAGGTGGAGGACATAGAACCTCTTCTCCACCTGGGAAAGAAAGCCCCTCATGACCGCAGGGTTTCATGACTTCCAGTTATGGAGCAAGGGCAGGGCCTGCACACACAAGCCTTCCAGAGCAGGAAGGTGCAGGAGGGTGTGGGAGGGAGGCAGCAGGGATGACACTTGGCGTGTGGGGACTTCAGAACATAAATGAAGTCCTTCCCATTTATTCCAGCCAGAGATCTCACCTGAGATCTCATCTGTCTTGATTTCATTTGCTGGACCGTGGCAAGGTCAGAATTCAATCCCAGCCTGCCCTGACAGTCCTCATCCTTTGGACAGAGCATGAACTTGCATGTCTTTCAGCAATCTATGGGCACGCACCCACCCCAGTCTGTGCGAACTCCTGCAACGGGCACACATCCACCCCATGCGAACTCTATGCAATAGGCACACATCCACCCCAAGTCTGTGCAAACCCTAGTCAGCCAACTCTGGTCCCTCTGAGAGAACTGAATGGGCCATAAGAACAGCATTGTTTGAAATGCTACTACTTCTAGAAGCTTCTCGCTGCTTTTGCCACATGAAAATGTACCCATTCGGGTTGTTTGCCAGACGGAGAAACTGAATTAGAAGTAACTCACAGAGGGCATTTTAGTGTGTGCTGCAGAGCAGCAGCACGGGCAATGAAGCAGATAAGTACCAGTCAGATGACACTGATGTGGCCTTCCTCTGGAGGGAAGAGTAAAGCTCAGGGAAACTGCATGCACATACTGGAAGATGGGCGGGGGGGGTGCCCAGGCCCTGCAAGGAAGGTTTTGATTACATGGTGGGCAGTCACGCTGCTTGACACATTCAGTACCACAGAGAGCTGTCCGTCTTATTATTTTATTTGGAGAGGGGGTAGATCTTTGAAACGGAGTCCCTCTATGTAGCCTGGCAGTCCTGGAACTCTTTGTGTAGACCAGGCTGGCCTTGAACTCACAGAGATCCCCCTGCCTCTGCCGCCTGAATGTTGAGGTTAAAGGTATGTGCCACCACCGCCCCGTGTAAATGCTGCTGCTTTTGCAAGGCCGTCCTCACCCATAGCTGACCTACAAATCTAGAAAGCAGAGGGCTATCGCTCTTATCTGAGGGAAGACTGGTGCCAGAATGTTCCATGATTCTGTAAACAACACCACCGAATTCCATTTAGTCCCAAAGGACATTTGCAGGCACCAGGTTTATAGCCCGGATTATAGTGAGTCCTACTTGCCTTTGTGGTCACATGCCTAATCGCTCTTGGACTCAGAGGCTCTATTTGTACCTGGAAGCAAAAGACTGGGAATTTTCAGTTCAAAATCATTTATTATTTACTTGCCTCTGACCACTGAAGCATAATTTTACCAATAACCCCAAAGTACTAAAATCTCAGATGCATGACTAAGAACATTTACCAAGGGACCCAGGAAGCAAAGAGGGCAGGAAGCCGGGGATGTGACTCAGTAGCTGGAGTGATTGCCTCATGGGCACAAAGTCCTGGGACTGATCCTGAACATCCCTAAATCAGACACATGGTACATACCTGAAACCCCCCACTTGAGAGGTAGGAGCAGAAATATGAGGAGTTTAAGGGAATTCAAGGCTGACCATGGACACATGCAACAAGGTCTACAAAAAGAAGAAAGGAGGAAAAGAGGGGGAAGGATTGTGTCTGAGGACATGGGCTAGAATTTTAAAAAACCAGACCTAACCCAGAACTCCAAGAGCGTCTCTTCTAGAAACCGCTGGGGAAGGGAGGAAGTGAGAGTCCCTGCGGGATGCGCGTGGCTGTAGCTCTTCTGTAAAGCTAACAGCTTCTCACTTTTAAAGATGACAGCATGTGTCCTTTAATAAATGCCATCCTTGTGACAGTGCTTTTTGAAGCTGTAGGCCCTCAAGCAAGAATATATGATTGGGGTGGCATTCTACACTGGACAGGGTTCTCTTTGATTACAGTTATTTGGGAAAATGACATGACAGGTTGCTAATGGCACACCAACCTTGGTAGAAAATGCTAGAACTGCAAACAGTTTCTGCAAGCATTTGTGGAAAGTTTCTGGAATTTGTTTCAAATACAGGTAGTTTGTTAATGCCCTCTCTCTCCAATCCAGATCTTTCAGGGAAACACCAACCCCACCGATGTTGTCTTAGGAGTTTTCCCCAAACCACTAATAACTCGATTTGTCCGGATCAAACCTGTATCCTGGGAAACTGGTATATCTATGAGATTTGAAGTTTATGGCTGTAAGATAACAGGTAAGTGCCAACATGAAAATTGTCCCTCAAATTAATGCAAATTTTCCCATTCAAGAAGAATTTGTTTATAAGTTCAAATATGAAGGTGATCTGTTCATATTTATTTGATAGTTAAGGTCTGTGTACTTGCTCTTCTCATTGGTATAACAAAATACCCAACAAAAAGAAGCTTGAAGTAAGAAGAGGTTATGTTGGCTTGCAGTTTAAGTGGACACAGTCCACCATGGCAGGGAGGCATGGTGGCAGGGGTGGGAGGCAACTGATTATATTACATCCAAGTTAGGAAGCAGAGAAGAAACAAGAAATTGGATGAGATATAAAACCTCAAGGTCAGTCAGGTAATGGTTGCCCACGGCTTTAATTCTAGCACACAGGAAACCAAGGCAGGCAGATCTCCATGAGTTTGAGGCCAACCTGGCCTACAGAGTGAGTTCCAGAACATCTAGGACTGTTAGAGCCTCAAAAAGCAAAAAGACAAACAAACAAACAAACAAAAAAAGGAGCTCAAGGTCTGCCCCAGTGACTCACATCTTCCAGTGAGGTGCCACCTCCTAAAACTGTCACAACCTCCCCAAAATCTCCAGCAACTAGAGATGGAGTGTTCAAATACATGAGCCTATGGGGGACATTCACGTTCAAGCCACAAAGACCTGCACCCTGGATGTGCACGTGTCTGAATTCAAGCTCCACCTTAATTCATTAGCCATTTGGAAGATGATTTACTTAGAGCTTCCCAAGCCTGGTTTTTCTCCCCTGGCTAACAGCAAGAGTCCTGAGTGCATATAGCCCTCTCCTCATGGCAGGTGGAGAGATGGACATGGGCATTTAGCATTAGCATAGTGTGTCAAATGACAGAGATTTCTGTCAGTGTTCAGTTTTCCACTGCAGGCTCTTGGTGGGGGAAGTCCTGTGTATATGTCAATAAAGCACTGTTGGCCAATAGGGAAGCAAGATAGGTGGGACTAGGAGTCGAGGAGTACTCTGGGAAGGAGAAACACAGGGAGTCAAGATGTAACACTATAGGGGTAAGAAGCCCAGAAACTTCTCCGGTAAGAGAAATACTTAGATTAACAATTACGGGGTAATTACTTAAGTCAGAGCTAGCCAGTAAGAAACAAGCAAGGCCAACAGCTTCATAATTAATGTAGCCTCCTGTGTGTTTATTTGGACTGATGCGGCTCTGGAAGCAGGCTTGCGGGAAGGCTTCTCTCAACAGGCTCTGAGAAGGTAGCTCACCTGCCTTGCCCTGTGTTGTTGGATGGGCAGCATGCTGACTGTTGTTATTAGGTCCTAATAAATAGCTGCCCCATGGAAGGCTCCAGACTGGCTTTCTCTCTGTAGTTTTGACACCCAGAGGTGCTTAATCAGCTGCGCTAAAGGAACCTGACTTCTGACAAGGGCATCTTTCACTCCCTAAAACCCTGGCAACTCTATCATGGTTTTTCCCTCTGTTTTTGTTGCCTCTATATGTGTGTGTTTTCCCCTGGTGGTATTGGGGGATTGAACCTGGGCCTCACACATGGCAGGCAAGCACTATACCATAGTAGGAACTATGCATCACCAGTACTTAACTGGATATTTTGAAAGTAGAAGTCAACTTGTGGAAGTTGCTGGTGTTTCAGTTTGTTCTTCAAGTGGGACTTGAGAAGTCTGTTAAATTGAAACAAGAGGCTATTCCTACTTGAGGAGTGAAAATGATGAGATACACTGGCTCTTGTTAAATATCTGCGAGAGGGTCAGACCAGGAGACTGGAAGTCAAGGCATGCCTGGCCATGAGTCACTGGTCCCAAGGCCTCCAGGGCTTCTGTAACAGCCCTTGCTGCTGGGTTACCCTGTGTTCTGATGTAACAGGAGCCATGCTCCAACCTTTTTCCATGTAAGTAGATACGCCACAGAGCTTTTGCTTAAAAGCAACAACAGCATACATGCAGTCTTCATATCTTAAAAACTGAAAAACATGGGGGTTGGAGAAATGGACCAGTGGTTAAGAGCACCTACTGCTCTTCCAGAGGACCCAGGTTCAGTTCCCAGCACTTGAGTGACAGCTCACAACTGTCTGTAACCGCATTTCCAGGGGATCCCATGCCCTTTGCTGGCCTCTGTGGACACCAGGAATTCATGTGGTGCAAAACATACATGAAGCAAACACTCGTACATATTAGATACAAATAAATGCTTTTTCGAAGATTGAAACACAGAATCTGTGGTTGATTCTCTGAGCAGGTAACTAAAAAGTAAACAACTGCAGTCTCTGGTGAACCACTATATTCTGTCAGTGTTACTCCTTAGAACACTTCGTTTCTCGCTTTGTCTGATGAGCTTAATTTCTGGAGAAGGAAGAAAACTGACTTTTGAAGGAAGAGCATCGCCTGGGGCTTTCCCATCAGAGAGGAGGCACTATGTAGAGAAGCTAGTTCATGAGAAGATGTGTGGGAAAGTTCACTTTGGAATGTAAAACCCAGATCTGAAATTGGACCCGGGTTTTATTTGTTTCCATAGTTATCACAGACTTGTTTATGGTTCCAAGCCTTAGAAAGTCCAAGGCCTTGGAGGCAGGAATTGGGTGGAGGGGCATTTGGAAGAGGGATGGACCCTGAAAACACAGATGTAACCTTGTTTTTATTTTTGAAAGTAGCCAAATAACAGAAAGTTCCAGAGGACTTTAGAGCTTTACCAATGTAGGAGTCCACTCATAAATCCTTAGGTACGAGGCCACATGAGGTCTGGGTGGGAATTTCTGGTCCATTTCCCCAACCTTATTTCATGTCACTACACCAGAATTTTATATAGAAGCAAGCTTCATAAAGACTCAAAATTAGTCTGAACTCTGAACTCTGACTGCCCAGCCTCTAAAGATTTATGTTATGTCCTTTTGGTTAAATAAAATATTTATTCGAACTCAAATTATCCTTTTTATTTTCATAAGGACATCCCAAGAGGTAATTCTAGGAATGTGAACAAAAAAAGAAGGTAATTTATTGGATAAAAAATAATTAGTCTGTTTATTTAAACTATCTAAAGTAGTTTGTTCTAATATTTTTAAACACAGCCTATTTTGTTATTTTAACTACACAGTTGAGTTTTGTCTTCTCTCTAGTGAAATGACTGTCATTTCCCAGAAGTTGACCTTGGAAGGTTTGGGGGAAGGGCAGTATGTGACCATGATGGCCACACAGCCAGAAGGGCCATGTGTGGCTCAGGACTGTCCATTTAGTGAATGCCTGACTTCAGGAAAGACCTTTTGCATCTAAGATGTACATTTCCTAGTCTGTAAAATACCTTAATGGGCTTTAATGAGGATTAAATGAAAGAATATTTATAATGTACTTGGCTTAAAGTGCTCACTAAATGTCCCAAGCCTGGTACCCACTAAACTGAATGCAGGGCAAGCCCCAGGTAGAGCCTGCAATGAGATAATCATTCATGAGCATTTCCCTCTTTTTGAGGCCCTGGTCCTCTGCAAGATGGGGAGTCGGTCAGAAGTGTCCTGTTGAACTAGACAATGCACAAGAGCTGGGCCTGGTCACCACGCTTTCTCCTTACCCCATAGACCTGGAGCACCATGAGTGTTCAGTAGTTATTTCTGAATGAAGGAGCTCTACTTTTCATGTTCAGAAATTCTTTAGAAATACAGCCATCCTGGAGAACCAGAGAATAAGGTGGTGTATTACCCAGAAAGAGACACCCTGGAGTGACATATCTACATCCTTGTTTCTGCAGAGGGCTGCATCACTTTGACAAAGGAAGGGCTTGGGAAGATAACACTGGGGGACTCTGCAGGGTTGTCAGCCAGCTAGCCCATGCTCTGCTCAGTGGGGGTCTGTTCCCCACAGTCAATTTGCACATGACCTTTCCAGACACCACCACGCCCTTAGGAAATGTCCCAAGCTATCAGGGGAAGACTGAATGGTGCTCACCTGAGAGCTACTGTGACACTTACCTGCTGCTTTCTCACTCTTTGGAAACTTATTACCTGGGTGTGCTCTGTTTCTCTTTTAAGGTCAAGCACAGAGATCTCACAGTAAATTAGTATCACGAATGATTACCACATGAAACCACTCCCCATAACATCATGTACTTGTCTCTTTCATCCAAGGTTGATTTGAAGGTTTTCAAGAAATAGTGTTGCCAAGCAAAATACTAAATCCCAAGTTAAGCTTGATGTGGCTAAAAAATGATGATTGTTAGTGTACATATTTCCCATTGCAGTTTTGGAAACACTAAGGATTAGTTGTTGTTCCCTGAAATTCCAATCCTATTTGTTCTGTTGTTTATTTGTTTATTAAATCTGATAAGATAGGCAAACCTGCATCTAAGCCTGTCTGCCAAGGAAACCCTGCTGTAAACTAGCACCCCATCTAAACCTTGAGTTAATTGGTAATATAAATTTTTCCTCATTATCATTAAAAGTGAATTATAGGCTAGACTGAGGAAATGGCTCAGTCAGTAAAGTGTTTGCCCTGCTCGCATGAGGACCTGAGTTCAAACCCCAGAACCCATAAAAAGCCATGCATAGTGACACTGTAATCCAGAATTGGAATAGTAAGCAGGGAGGAGGTTGCTAACCAGCCAGTGTAGCCTAACTGGCTATCCCATGCAGGGTCCTCCCTGCAGGTAGAGCAGGAGAAGGGCCGGCCTCTTCCCAGGGGCTGAGCTGGATGGTGAGTGTCGAGGACTCAGACCCTCCCCCCATTAGTTACCGGGAAAAACCATACACACTGAGTCGGGAGTCTGTCGAAGCAGGATCTTGATTTATTCCAGCACACAGGAACTAATATAGGACTGAGGTAGGGGATGGGAATCTTAGGATAGGATAAGGTGATGTGAGGAGTTAAGGGCCAATAGTATTCCACCAAGCAGGCAGGTAGCTAGGCAGGGGGCAATCTTGCATCAGATCTGGCTGAGTCACCCCCACGTGGAGGTTACAGGTTAGAGACAGGTCGCTAAACTCTAGCCAGGCTCAGGAGGTTACACTGGGCCTCACATCCAAGCTTTTCTTAGGCCCAACAACCCCAGGCCAGTGAGAGACCCTGTCTCCAACAGCATCATAGAGAGTATAACATAATGTAATTTGTCCCTCAGACATATGTCCACACTTGCACAGTGTGAGTCTTACGGCTTTCGGTGAAGGTCAAATCAAGGTTCCCTCTACTGCCTTTCAGAAGGGACACTCACAAAGATGTGGTGGGAACCGGCTCGACACAGCTGACTGAGTGTGGGCTGGGTGTCACCATGTTTGGAGAAAGAAAAACCCGGAAGTTCTGTGTAAGAGAAAAGGCATTTGTGTGGTGGAGGCTCTGCCCTGCTTGCGGCATCCACATTAATTGTGTTTTTCTAAAATGGTAGCATCTGGCTCCCTCTGCCAGCTGAGTGTCACCTCTATAAAAAAGCCAGTTGGAAGTCAGGCAGGTGAGACCACTGCAACCAAGAAATGGGACTTCTGTTTCTGATGTGAGCTTCGCAGTCCTTCAGTAAAACGGGTTTTGTAAATCTTCTTTTTAATCCCCATTAAGTTTATTCTTGGTTTCCAGATCCCACCCAGAACAAATAGCCAGGCTGAGTTGCAGGAAGGCATCCTGAGAAACGACAGCTGCTGCTGACTGTTGAAATACGTTGATTCATTCAGCAAATATTTGTTGAGGATGACAGTGTACAAAAACAGGCTCAGCAAGTCTCAGAAAACAGCAAAATATGACTTGTTTCATAGCCTCAATCAAATTAAGATCCCGCTTGGCATGCGACTCAGTTGCTAGTATGTTTGCCCAGCACACAGGAATCCGTGAGCTCTGAACCCAACTCTGCAGAGGCCACATGGAAGTACACACATGAACCCCAGTACTTAGAAGGCAGGAGCAAAAGAGTCAGGAGATCAAGGTCATTCTCCGCTACACAGGGAATTCAGGGCCATCCTGGGACATGAGATCTTTTCAAAAAAAAAAAAAAAACAAGTAGAAAGGAAGAGAGGGAGGGAGGGAGGGAGGGAGGGATCAAAGGAGGGAGGGAGAGAGGGAACAAAAAGCAGTTATCCAAAAGAGTGAATAAGATTCTCAGTACAAGAAAAATATACATAGAGTATCATAAGGCATCCAAGAAAACAAATGTGTCCAATTACAGACTGGAAGTATTGACTAAGTTAAATAATATTTGAAGACGGGTCAATATTCTCCACAGATTAAATGGTGGGAAGAGCAAGATGGAAGGAGGGTCTAGCAGAGAGAGGGAATGGGAGAAAGCCTGGCCTCCACCCAGAGGGGAAGAGCTTCTCTGTAGCATCAGTGAATGAGCAGCGGAGGAGCTGGGGTGTGTAACATTCCAGGCCCTGGTGTGCGAACGAAGACACAGCGTTAGAACTGTACGGCTCGTGAGGAGATGTGCTGATTGACCCATGTTTACCGTCAACAAGAGCCTCACTGGGATCACTTAGGATGGCTAGGTTTTTAGATTACAATTTGTCACATCATGTAGAATGGAATTGTTTCAAAGGAAAATATGTTGTCACTCCTGCATGTCCCTAATTGAGCTGTATCGTTTTGCAAGGAGGATAACTGATTAGTTATTATGCAGCCAATCAGTCAATCAATGATGGATATTCCCCTGTTGCTCAGAAGCTCAAACTGCTACAGAAAATGCAAAGAGGTCCATATGAACGTCATTGTTCTTAGGTGTCTTACAGTCCATCTGTGATTACAGGACTCATAGTCCCATCCACAGCACAGCTCTGTTCCAGCTGGGAGCCGTTTCCTGCCTGGGCCATCACATGGCTGGAAGGGGAGTCCCTGACTCTTGAGTTGCATCTTGACCCTTTTGCAGGCCATGTTTCTGTGATCAGCAGAGAGGAGGCTGAAGCAAAGGCAGCAATAGGAAATCTGTCTGTGGGATGTGAGGGAGAATTGCTTAAGTAGAGTATGTTGTCGGTAACTGAATATATTAGTTAGCTGATATGAAATGGAAACGTGTGTGTCATATAAACAGGGGCATTTGAGTTCACCGGAAATGTGCATGTGGAAAGAGCACATGCAGATGTGTGAAGGCCCCAGGGCAACCTCGATGTCATTCCACAAGTACAGCCCACTTTTGTTTGTTTGTTTTGAGACAGTCTCTCACTGGGATTGGGAGCTCACCAACTCATCTAGGTTGGCCGACCACTGAGGCTCAGGGATTTGCCTGTCTCTGCCTCTCCAGTGCTGCATTACAAGTGTCAGCTACCGTGCCTGGCTTTTTACATAGATTCTGGAGATCCAACTGAGCTAACTCCCCTTCCCCAGAATGTGATTTTTAAAACCTAGACAGAAAATATTGCACTTTTCCTTGAGATAAGAAAGTAGGGTAGCCAGGCAGTGGTGGCACACACCTTTAACCCCAGCACTTGGGAGGCAGAGGCAGATGGATCCCTGTTAGTTCAAGGCTGGCCTGTCTACAGAGCAAAGTTCCAGGACAGTCTCCAAAGCTACACAGAGAAACCCTGTCTTGAAAAACAAACAAACAAGCAAAGATTTAGGACAGCGGTAAGCTTTAGTCTCAGAATTCAAGAGGCACTTGTGCAATGGCAGCACAAGTTGTCCCAAGACCTCCACACATATGCAGGTTGATTGTAATCTTAAAAGGCAGATATAGGAAAAAACTCTGTAAATTCCAAGCCAATCAGAGATACACAATGAGACTCTGTCTCAAAAGAAGACAGGGGGCTGATAACGTAGCTCAGTTAGTAGTGTGCTTGCCTACCATGCACCAAGCTCTGGGTTCAATCCATAGGAGCACATAAATTGAACATAGTGGTAATACCTGTAATCCTGTCACTCACGGTGATGGCAGGGGGATCAGAAGTTCAAAGTCATCCTTAGCCTCATCTACTCATTTCCAGACTATATTAGACCCTATCTGAGAGGGGGAGGAGAGGGAGGGGAGAGAGAGAGAGATCTTGAGGACAGTTGACGGTAAGGATAAAATGGCACTGTCCTTGTCATTGGACACCCAGCTCCCTGGACCTCAGCTGCCTTCTCCATGCTAAGCCAGGATCTTCCTTTGTCGTGTCCTTACCAACTTCTCATTGTGTTTCTTTAAATATCTCCAACCCACAATGAGTGGCACTTCTCCTTGAAATTGGAACAACTGCTAGGAACAGAAGCAAGTGGGATCTTAGCTTGATGTTAAACTCAGGAGAACTGGGAAGGAAGCAGGGCCGGGGTGGCAGTGATGCTCTGGATGCAGGTCTCCTTTGTGGGAATGTGAGTCTAAGGAGAGGATACAAGTGGACAGGGAATCTGCAGGGGAGACGGCTCTGCTAATGTAAACTCGCAGAGACTGAGGATTCCATATAAGCGGACACAAGGTTATGTTTTTCTAAGCATGGCGTCTCTCAGAAAATAACCTCACCTCACCTGTTCCTCCCCACCCTCTAGATTACCCCTGCTCTGGAATGTTGGGCATGGTGTCTGGACTTATCTCAGACTCCCAGATTACAGCATCCAACCAAGGAGACAGAAACTGGATGCCAGAAAACATCCGCCTGGTGACCAGTCGCTCTGGCTGGGCCCTGCCACCCTCAGCCCACCCATACATCAATGAGTGGCTCCAAGTGGACTTGGGGGATGAGAAGATAGTGAGGGGTGTCATCATTCAGGGTGGGAAGCACCGAGAAAACAAGGTGTTCATGAAGAAGTTCAAGATCGCCTACAGTAACAATGGCTCCGACTGGAAAATGATCATGGATGACGGCAAGCGCAAGGCTAAGGTGAGGCCTGGGGCTAGGGCGCAGCCGCTGTCTGGGAACTCTGTGTGCTGACTAGCTCACTAGGAAGTCGTTTCTCTAGCCCATAATAGAAGAGTCATTCCTCACATCCTGGGATTTTTTGTTGTGGTGTGTGTGTGTGTGTGTGTGTGTGTGTGTGTGTGTGTGTGTGTGCGTGTGTGAGCGTGTGTGTGTCCGTCCATGCATGGTCATGCACACACATGCCTTCATGCCTACCTGAAGCACCTCACACACGAGTGTGGAGGCCAGAGGTCAACCTTGAATGTGGTTTCTCAGGAGATAGTCACCTTGTTTTTTGAGACAAGGTCTAGGCTACATGGCCATAAGTCCCAGTGCTCCTTGCATCTCCTCCTCCCAAGGCTGGGATTACAAGTGTGCACCACTATAGTCAACTTTTTATGTGGGTTTGGGGAATCAAACTCGGGTCTTTATGCTTGCATGTCAAGTGCTTTACCAACTGAACCATCTCCCAGGCCCTTTCTCATGTGCTAGCCAGAGTCAAGGACTTCCCAGGGAAGCAGAGATTTAGCTAGGTTGTCTTGTCAGTAAGCTCCCGTTTCCATCTCTCCAGCATGGGGGTTACAAATTCGAGATGCCTAATCTGGCTTTTACTTGGGTGCTGGAAGAGTCCAATCTCGGGTCCTCATGATTGCACAGCAAGTACTTCACCCACCGGACACTCTCCCAGAAGCACTTGTTGGTTGGTTGGTTGGCTCATGGTACTCAAGAAAGTGTATGGAAAGAGTGGACTTTTCACTGAGCCACAATTCCCCACACTCTTTAAGCTTTGGATTGTTGAGCTGGGTGTGTATGTAATCCCAGTACTCAGGAGGCAGAAGCAGGAGGATCTCGCTGAGCTAGAAACCCGCCTGGGGACACACTGAGTTCCAGACCAGTGTGAGCTACAGAATGAGACCTTGTCCCAAAACACCAAAAATAAAAAAACAAACACATATCCAATTGTGATAAAATATGCATAGACTTTACCATCTGAATCTTCATTAGCTCACATCATGGCAGTGTCATGTAAATCATATCCATGTCCAGCTCTTTTCCAGAACTGTATGTAGTCTTGTGAGGCCGAGATCCTGGGCCCATCAGGAATGGCCCTCCACTTCCCCCCCATTGGTCCCTGGCACATCACCACCCTGCTTCCTGCCCTGACTCTGACTGCTCAGGAACCCCCTTTAAGCCAGTCACAGTAGAGAATCTGTTGCTTCATGGCTAGTTTATTTCACTTAGTGTAACACTGAAATAACGCTGGTCCCAATTTCCTTTCTTTTGAGAGCAGAATCATGTTCTGTCATGTGAATTACCACAATTTTACATTCACTACTGATGGATCCTTGGGTTGTTTCCATCTTTTAGCTATGGTAGATAATGCTTAGATATATTCTTATGCATTTGGAACCTCTTAAAACTCAGTCACCTCTTGCTAATCTAATGAAACAAGGAGGCAATCTCAATATTAAAGTATCCCAGCAGCCACAAAATGTGGGTTAAGTTTTAAACACAAAAGCTATACTTTAGTCACTATGTTTTACTCAGGGTTCTGGCTACATTTATTTACACTTTCTGAGCAGACCACACCAAGTTGGAAATGGTCCCAGGAGTGTACTTGGGTGGCCCTAAGTGGATTTGGGATGAAAATGAGGACCCGCCCCCAGGTTTTCAGATACTCTGCTGATACTTCTCACACCAACACATTTGGCCTTTGTCCTAGGTCTTTCTAACTCTACCTCCCCAAAGCTGTCCCCCATGGGTAAAGACTGCAGCTCCTTGGCTGGGATATTCCTATCTCACTTTCCAACCAGTGTTGCAAGGTCTTGCAGACAAGAAGAAATCCTGGCCATGCTTCTAGCTTCCCTCCCTCCAGATACGTGGCATTGAGGGCTAAGATCCTATCCCCCAAAAGCTGTAAGTCAGCGATGGAGCTGCTGGCCACTGACTAAACCAATGTTCTCCTCACTGAGGAAAGTGTAAGAATGTCCTCTGCCCTCCCTGAATTGACTGGTGGTTTCTAAAGCATTTTAGTATGATGTGTGGCTACATTCTTTCTTTTCCAGCACAGGGTCTCATGGAGGCTCCAACTGTGCCTAGCCCCCAACTTATAAAGCAGCCTTGACCTTCTAATTCTCTGGCTGGGATCACGGGCATACACTGTTGTGCTTGGTGTACATAGTGCTGAAGAATGAAACCCTGGTTCTGGTGCATGTTGAGCAAAGCACTCAACCAATTAGTTGACCTACAGTCCCAGCTCATAACCTTCCTTTTTGTCATGTCCTTTTTACTTTACTCTTTTATTTTGTGTATGTGTGCATGTTTATATGTGTAACTGACATGGGTGTGCCATGCACTTGTGTGCACAAGCATGTGGAAGCTGGAAGGCACTTTATCCATCATTCCTCAGACCTGATCCACCTTGTGTTTTGAGACAGGATCTCTCTCAGGCTTGGGACTCACCAGTTAGGCTAGGCTTACTGTCCAGGGAGCCCCAGGAATCATCCCATATTTGCTTCCCCAGCACCAGGATTGCAGGTGTGTAACACTAACCCAAGGATTACAGGTGTGTGACATCACCCCCAGGATTACAGGTGTATAACACCACCCCCAGGATTACAGGTGTGTGACATCACCCCCAGGATTACAGGTGTATAACACCACCCCCAGGATTACAGGTGTGTGACATCACCCCCAGGATTACAGGTGTATAACACCACCCCCAGGATTACAGGTGTGTGACATCACCCCCTAGGATTACAGGTGTATAACACCACCCCCAGGATTACAGGTGTGTGACATCACCCCCTAGGATTACAGGTGTATAACACCACCCCCAGGATTACAGGTGTGTGACATCACCCCCTAGGATTACAGGTGTATAACACCACCCCCAGGATTACAGGTGTGTGACACTACCCCCAGGATTTTTTGCTTGGGTTCTGGGAATCAAACTCAGTCCTTACCAACTGTACTGTCTCCCCAGGCCACTTGTCCCTTTTATGTCCACCCTTTCTGGACTTGGGACAAGGGAAAGGGAAACACACCACAAGCTGGAAGTCCTGTACAAAAGAGTGGAATGGACTGTGACTCCATCCCATAACCGGAGTAGGCAGTAAATCAACCACTTCCCTGCTGCTGCCGATGCAGGCATTGTTGTTGTGACACATTCTTCACACTGGGTTCTAGGAGAGCAAACAAGTCACCATATGTGTCTGATAGGAGGCATCATATGCTTCCTGTCACCTAGCCCTCACGGCAGCGGAGCCTGAAGCTGTCAGCCATTGCAGTAAATCCAGTATAGAGTTGCCCAAGAAACTAAAGCATGTGTTTCCACTTTAACAGTCTTCTGCTGGAGACTGGTTGACTACACTGGGGTTTAGTCCCGAAATGCTCATCACTATCACCTTCCTGTGACACCTGACACCATGGGAACTTCTAAACTGCTTAGACTGAGCCTAATCAGTGATTCTTAGCATGTCCTTCCTCTGAAATAATATCACTAAGGTAGAGATGGAAATTGTTAAAATCTTCCATTTCAGACAGTCTACATTCTCAAATTATATAAAGGTATTTGAAACGTATTCTACTTAATGGTCCGAATGCTGCCTGCCTGCTGAGGATGCCAGCCATCATTCATGTAAAAGTGAAATGAGGGTGTTTGTAGGATAAAACAGTGCTTTTGTGAATTAATCTCCTCCATGCCCTTCCCTCACTCCCACCCACAAACATGTAATTGGCAAGCTCTGTCTTCTACCAGAGTTGTTATGATCAGAGCCTAGTCCTTGCAGCCTGGCAGGCTAGTCTTGGCCATCGCAAATAACAGTGAAAAGCAGAGGAAGGGGATTTATCCAGTGTGGCACCATTGAGAAGATGAACAAAAAAAGGTATCAGTGACCCCAAGTGTATCTTCCAGGTCCTGGGTGTGAGGCTTAGGTTTAAGGAGAGGGCTAGAGGTATGCATAGCTAAGCAGTGCTAGTCAACTGTGGTCTCCGCCATCACTGACCCATCCTTATCTCAGCTCCTATCTCTGCTGCAAAGTGGTCTGATAAGTTCTCAGAACTGTGAAATCTCTTCCTGGGAGACAAGCTCTCAATGCGGCTAGCACCAGCCTTCAGCTTTCTCCTTTGCCTGGAATTTGCTAGGAAATTCTAGTTCTTTGAGGTTTCTCTAGAGTCCAAAAGTCAAGGTGAGGACACAATTATCTCTCTTCTAACTTCTTCTTGCCAGGATGGTTACATGTCAGGGTCTGGATTAACTCAACTTCTCAGGACTAGAAGGAGCCAAAGGCCTCATGTCCTAAAGCACTACGGTTTACGGAGCCCACTGCTGATTCTGAGCAGGCTCTGCTACCTGAGTTCACCCAGTCCATGTGGCTTTCACTGCCGGAGTTTCCCAGCTCACCGCTGACAACTTTTATGAATTATCCAATTGTGTTCATCCTTTGTTCAAGTTGAAATGAAAAAAGGGTCCCAGGCTTCCAATGATCCCATTGCTTCCTCGGACAGTCTTCCCAGACTCATCAATGTAGACAGGACTTGTGTGTGTAGTAATGGTGTTTCCACTACAATTATCGTCTTGCTGACAACAACTTAATTGAGCCTGATAATGCTGTGTGTCAGAGTCTCAATTACTCACAGTGCTTGCAGATCTATCAAGAGTCAGGACCTTGATAGCAAATGTATAACTTAAAAACAGAAATTAATTAATTAAGCTCTACTGTTAGCTTGTTAGATTTCTGCTAGCTTTTCTGAGTTATAAAGACTGATTAATTTACTTCAAGAACCCAGAGCCCTTGGTTGTCTGTCTATCTCTTCCTACATGCTTCCTCTAGTCATGGCATGTTCTCCATGGGATACTCACACCTTCTGATGTGTCAGAATGCTGAGTCGGTTCAGTGTGCTCCCACTCTGCCTGGAACAGCTGGGCTGGCCACTCCATCTGGCTGCCAGTTCGCATCAAGCGAAAGGCACATCAGTGAATACAAATGTGTTTCCTGGGTACAGATATTTCTTGGACCTTGGTGTTCTTTCCTCCTAGTCGAGAGGCTAGAATCAGGTCAGCTCAGGACCTGTAGTCAGTCCTGGGTACCAAAGAAAGACCCTCTTTCCTCAAAAGCAAAAATAAAATGAGACTGACTGTGCTGCTTGATTTCTGAGAGTCGGGGCACTGTAGTGGTGTGGCTAGAACACTAGTCAGTCAAGGTTTGCATCTTGCCTCTACTATGGGCAAGCACTCTGTGACTCCATTTCCTCATCTATAAAAGATGTGTAAGGGCTATAGAGATGATGCAGGAGGTAACGTGTTTACCTTGCTAGCATGATCAACCCACATGAAAAACTCAGTTGTGGCAATGTATGCTTGTAGTACTAGCAGTTGGGGAGGCAGAGTCAAGTGGCTCACTAGGATCTCTGGCCAGACAGAGGTGCTATTAGGGTGCTAATCAGTGTACCCTAACAGATGTTGTTCAAAAGCAAAAGGAAAAGTAGAGAATGCTGAGGGAATAATACTTAAAGTTGTCCTCTGGGCTTTATAAACACACACGCACACACATATACACAAATACACATAAACACACAGAAAGAGAGAGATACCAATGCACACGATGATTCAGACCACCAGGATGTCCCTGGTAACCAGGACTGCTGTTGGCTGTTAAAGAAGACCTTTGATCTCTAAGTGCCTTCATCTGGTAGTACTCCTCAGGGAAAAAGATTTCCACTCACTGGTTTAAGCTAAGGTCTTGAAATAAGACATTTGGACTCCAGTAAACTGTCTCTGAGCTGAGACTATAGATTAGGGGTAGAGCACTTCCCTAGCACACAGGAGGTCTTGTTTCCAACCCAAGCATCACAAAAGGAAATTAATTCTTCCTTCTTCAGGGATTTAATTCATCCAAGTTTGAGCAAAAACAGGAGCCTCTTATTCGAGAGTCAGTAGTTGGAGTGTTTACTGAAACTCGGTATCTATTATAAACTCCAAGAGGTGGCTAGTTCTCTTTCTATGTTATCTTCCTCCACCTCAGATAAGTGACACTGAGCCACATCTGCAAGGCAGATGGGTGTGTTGTTTCAAAGGCTCCCCTGAATCTTCAGCTCCTGTACCAGTAGTGTGTGCTTTGAGGTCTCCAAGAAGAAATGAGAAAAGACGCTGGTCAGTTCTTAGACGATGTTTGTTTTTGCCTTTCTCACTTACAGAAGAAATACCAGCCATTGCTAAAGGCTGTTTAGTGCCCACTTCTCTGTCCTATTAGGAGTCCTGATGCAGGGGACTTGGGAGATGGTTGAGTTTGTGAAGTACTCACTGTGCAAGCAAGACCCGAGTTACATCCCCCAGTCCATGTACACAGTCATCATGGCAGTTGGGAAGTGGAAACAGGCAGATCCCCTGGCTCACTGGCTAGCCATCCTAGCCAGCTGGTGAGTTCCAGATTCAGTGAAAGACTCTCAAAAAATAATGTGGAAAGAGATTAAGAAAGACTTCCAACATTGACTCCTGACCCGCACAGGCTGGAGCACACACATGTATATCACGCATGCATGTGTAGCGTGTGCGCGCGCGCGCACACACACACACACAAAGAGAGGGAGGGAGGGAGGGAGAGAGAGAGAGAGAGAGAGAGAGAGAGAGAGAGAGAGAGAGAGAGAGAGAGAGAGAGAGAGCTAAAACACATAAAGCAGTTTAGAAAACACCATCCCCAAATGTGCACCCTTGGAATTTCTAGTTTAGGGGATCTAGGACCCAAGCAGGCACGGTTCTCTCTAAACTTCCCCCACCTGCTCACAAAGATTCTCTGAGTCCTGTCCCAGGAATGCCATCAGACAGGAAGGGATGAAGGTCATGTCACCTCAGAGAAAGCTGGGGTCAGACCCCACATAGATATGATGGGCACAGGTGTTACCTTCTCAGAACCCATAAAACATTTTGGCCCCCTAAACTGCTTGTAGTCTCCCTTTCTCTAGAAAGAGAGATAGCCACTTCCAGAGTGCACTGGGTATTCTGGGTGGTGGTTTTCTTGCAAGGCTCTGAGGCTATTCTTAGTGTATAGTCTTTCCTTCTGTCATCCTTTCTACTCTGCTTAGTTCATACTCAGTTATTGACCTCTTAGACAGCAAATTTCTACTGTCCTGTACAAAGAAGAAACCAAGAGTGACCGTGTGTGTGTGTGTGTGTGTGTGTGTGTGTGTGTGTGTGTGTGTGCGCGCGTGCACATGTGCATGGTTTGTATGCAAGGATGCATGAATGTGGAAGCCAGAGGACAACCTCAGGTGTCCTCCCTCCGGCACTTTCCACCTTATGTTTTGAAACAAGTCTCTCATTAACGTGGGCTAGTCAATTAGACGAGGTTGGCTGGTTAGCAAGTTCCAAGGATTTGCCTGTCTCTACCTTCCCCATGGTGGGGTCATAGATGCACACCACCATACCCAACTTTTTTGTACACGGATTCTGGGATTGAACCCAGGACCTCATTCTTGGAAGACAAGGATTTTACTCACCTCACCACCCCCCCCCAGCCCTTATTACTTTTTCTCATAATCACCAGCACTCTTTCTGCTTCACAGACTTTCGAAGGCAACAACAACTATGACACACCTGAGCTCCGGACCTTTTCACCTCTCTCCACACGGTTCGTCAGGATCTACCCTGAGAGAGCCACACACAGTGGGCTTGGGCTGAGGATGGAGCTCCTGGGCTGTGAAGTGGAAGGTAATTGCAGTTCTCAGAGCCCCTTCTCCTTTCTCCCTCCTATTTACATTCTTGTGCATTTATGCCTCTGATGGTGCTGTGGTAAAACTGCCACTCTCTCCTCTGAGTGAACTGTATCCCCACGTCTGGCAAGCTGTGAGATCCAGCAGCTGACCATGCCACAGAGCATCCAACTTATGCATTAGTCATCTGCACTGCTTCCCTTCTTTGGAGTCTGGGGTGGGGGTTGTCTCACTTGAGAAAGAGAGAGACAGAGACAGAGATCCATTAGTTGGTAAAACACTTGCCACACAAAGCATGAAGACCTGAGTTCAATCCTCAGAATCCACATTAAAAAAAACCTGGCTGTGTAGTGCACATTTGTATTCTTAGCACTGGAGAGGCAGACAGATGGATCCAGGTTAGTGAGAGACCCCATCTCAAAAATCAAGGTGGCTGACAACGGAGGAACTAAAGCCAAGGTTGACCTCTGGCTTCCACATGTATGTGTGCACATGCACACCTACACAGACAAGAGCATCCACACACAAAAATATACTTATTTTTGAGATTCAAATCTCACTATACTCTAAATTGGCCTCAAGTTTGTGATTCTCCTGTCTCAGCATCCCAAACTATCTTGAGATTCTGATGCATGCCACCATTTTAAAATAAATAACTCAGTATCTTTGAGTGTACCCACAGTTTTCTTGCCTCCATTATTTCTCATGGATTCTGAAATCTTTCCATTGCAGTTGAGTAAAGTCCCCTACCCACTATGCTGCCTCTCCCTCTGCTTTTGCTATGCAAGACTGTCAACCTAAGCTCAATCCCTTGAGCCTTCTATAGAGGAGAAAACTGACCCATGCAAGTTGACCTCTCTCATCTCCATGTTTGTAGTGGCTCACACAGTCATCTGTACCCACACACATCTCTCTCTCTCTCTCTCTCTCTCTCTCTCTCTCTCTCTCTCTCTCTCTCTCTCTCAAACACACACACACAAAGTAAAAATTAAAATAAAAATAAATGTCTAGAGGTCTGTCCCATCCAAATTTCTGTCTGTGCTATTGACTGATGTCCTGTTGCATTTGACAGAAGGATGTCAAAACATCTTGGATTAACTCCTTAGGCTTCTGGGAAGAAAGAAAGTCTGACCTGTGATAAAAAGTATATAATAATGTGGTGAGGTCTGCTGAAGAACATGCCCTCATTTCTCAGATTATCATATGAAGGTCACGTGAAGGACAAATTCAGACACCGAATCTTACCAGGGACGGAGGCGCTGAGTGATTTGAGCTGGTTATTGTACCGTTTGTTGCTTGATGCAATGGAATTCCCATCTGCCTTAGATCTGGGTATAAATGAGTAACCTTACACCAGCTTTTCCCCTCCATAGTGTCCTTCTCTGGCTTACCAAGAAGAATGGCTGCTGTTGGTGCCCAGATGTTAATCAACTGAGCACATGCTCAAAGTTGTTGCAAAGAAGGCTTTTTAATATCACCTTCCTCAGGTTTCAAAGTCACGTGTGTGTGGAGCTACCCAAACCCAATTACATTCCTGAGCACTTGAAATGCCATAGAACTTCTGTATGCACTATAGGATTTTAGACTATCAATCACGGCACTGCTGAGTAATTCATAGCTACTTTTCTATGTAGATTTAAAGCCAGGCTGTCTCTCACCCTTCCTCTAGTTACACCTTCCAAATCTGTAGTTTTAATCTTCGGACACTATCAATGCAGACCAGGAGTAAGCACACATCACGGATAAAGAGAACAACAAAGAAGCAATTAGCAGTCTTGACCAAGTGCAAAATGTGCTCATTCGATGTGCTGAGAAGAGTGGTCCTCTGGGAAACAGGAGGTGGTACCCGGAGGCAGGTGTTCACCCAGATGCTGGAGGGAACTGTGATTTAGAGGGTGGGATGAACGGAGGGTTGCAAATATTGAGCCTTGTGGCAGGTTGCCAGTTCCAACCTGTGGGGTGAGTAAGATGGGGGACCTACAAACACTTCCCTGAACCAGGTGAAGGAAAAATGATCTGGGAAAAGTAATGTCACCGCTACTTAATGCACATGGTGAGAGGCAGCCTCTCTATGCCCATTCTCAGGCTAAAGAGCACCAGAGCCAAGGTTCTAGGCATCTGAAGGGCTATTGGAGAGATGCTGAGGCCCAGTCCAGCCTTGAAGGACCCTGTATCCTATTTTGCACTCAAGCTTCTTTTTTAACAACAGTTAAAGATTCCCAGAAGACTTTCAGACAGGGAAACTGAAGCATAAAAATGAGTCACTTCTTACTTTCTGTAATGGGACCTAGGCACCACCTTGGACCATTTCCAGTATGAAGCCTCTCCTTGTAAGCTCCATTAGCCATGAGAAAAAGTCAGCAGAATTAGCAGAACCTATCAAGGACTGTGCTCACTGAGGGGCAATAGCTGTATGAATGGCCAGGCATTCTGCTGACCCAGGGATGGCAATGAATAGAGCCAGGGGTGTGTGCACATCAGGCAGGAGTGGGCATGGATGTGTGTTCGGGTCAGTGTGCACCTGTGCTCATGTGTGTGTGTGTGTGTGTGTGAGTGTGTGTGTGTGTGTCTGTGTGTGTGTGTGTAAGCACTTATTGAGAAGGAAAAAATAATAAGAGCTGGGTAGGTGGCACAGAGGGTCTTTTAAGAATAAGGCCCTGGGTTCCATTTCCAGAATCCATTCAAAAGAAAGTTGGGCATGGAGGTATGTATTTGTGATCCTACCACCGGGAAAGCAGAGATAGGCAGGTCCTAAGAACTCACTAGCCCAATATTTTCCCAAAGTCCAGGAGGTGCCCAGCACGTGTCATCCGTGCATGGTCATTTCCTGGCTAGCCTTGGGTTCGGAGCTTCGGGGCAGTGGGAACTCAGCTCTGCCTCTACACATCTCTTAGCTCTGCCCCCCCCCCTTAAGCGCACAGGCAGTGTCAAGTTCCTCCCAGTACAGCAACTTTAAAGGGCACATTCATCCTGGCTCGGGCTGGGAGGGGCCCCCACACTCCCTCCCATCCTACTCCCAGCATCTCACATGCTTCTCTCACATTAAGGGACTTGACCCTTATCTCTTGTCCTGTAATGTGAAATACAATCTCCAAAACTGTAAAATATTAAACAGATTGCAAAAATGAGTAACAGGCTGAAAAAAATGGACTGAACCAAGTTTAAAGGACTTCAAAAGCAGTCTTTGATTAATGTTGGCTACTTTTCAACTACAAACTCAAAGATACAGGGGACTCAGACAGCAGTGGAATGCAATCCCACTGGAAACCAGACCAGGTAAGCTGACCTCAGGCCACAGGGGACAGCCTAGCTCACACACCTGCCTGGGACAGAGGGGCCCAGGTGGAGAGGTACTTAGAGAGAAACAGAACAACCTGTGAACAAAGAACAACGCCTTACCAAGTGCCAGCTGATGCCCCTTTGTGACAGCAAACTAGTCAATACTGAGACCATGAAAGAATTCATGGGCGTGGCTTCTTAGTGCCTTAGGAGGAAAAGGAAATGTGGTCTAATCGCTATCATGGGGGTTCTTGACTCCAGGGTCATGAACAAATATCCGGGAGACTCAAGAGGTTTGCAGGAAAGAAATGTTTATATAGATAACTATGTGTTGACTGCCCCTGCAGCCATATCTACTCATCAGATAGGGATCAACTGCCCAAGCCCAGCAGCCCCTAGTTCATTCTGTAAAGTTCAGGAGTGTTTAACTTCCCACAAGAGAGGCAGAGCATATCCCTGGCCTCCATACCATGCTCTAGAGTTTGATGCACAAGCACTAGCGTATCCAAAACCTTGAGAATACTTTGCAGGACTGTGAGAAGTAATACTTGGATTTCATTTCAGCACCTACAGCTGGACCAACCACACCCAATGGGAACCCAGTGGACGAGTGTGACGATGACCAGGCCAACTGCCACAGTGGCACAGGTGATGACTTCCAGCTCACAGGTGCAGAGCCCACCCTCATCCCATCATTGTGCTTTGTCAGTCTGCGTCCCAGTCCTCGGTGTGTGTGTGTGCTTGTCATTCTTAGTGGTTGGTGACGCCCACTAGCAATGGAACCTTGTCGCCCCACATGGGGCTTCATTTCCTCGTGCCAACTCACGTGAACAAATAACTCCTCGTAGCTGCAGCTGTTTGCAGAGCTGAGCATGTTAAGTTCATCTTCAGGCAGCCCCCCCCCCGGCCCCCGTCACATGTACTCCACCCATCCCCAACCACATACTATAAAGCGTTCACTTTCCTTTCTTAATGAGGCCAAAACTGTTTGAGTGGAGACTTTATCCAACAGATTGATTAAATTAGACTTCTAATTTCAATACAGCTTTTAAGTTAGGATTTTGCAAATAATGTTGTATTGAAATCTGCTAAGGCAGAATTACCTATGACCACATCAGCCCTGGCTAGCAGGTTCATCAGATGGGGATACACCAGTGCCTCAGGGTCTATCTGGTGTTACTCTCATGCCATCCAAAACCACAAAAGTTATAAAGAACCCTTTCTTTCCACCCAGAATGGCAGAGGAGATTAAGTAAATATGGAAATGGGATTGCCCACTTGAAAATTGGCAGGGCACTAAAATTCACACACTATTTTTGCAAAAGGTCTTCACAGGACCTTTATGGCTGACTGTGGCAGAGAAATTTGACACTGATTTTATGTTGTGTATACGTGTGCTTGTGTATGCATGTACATACATATGCTTATGTGTGCATGCACATGTATATGCTTGTGTATGTGTGTACATGTGTGTGGATGTACATGTGTGTGCATGAACATGTGTATGCTTCAATTTGCTCCTTCTTATTTTTGGAGACTGGGTTCTAGGGAGTTACCTGTCTCTACCTACCCCCACACTAGGATTTCAGATGTGTATCTCGGCTTCAGACTTGGTGTTTAAAAAGCCTGGCTTTACTTTTTATTGCATCCCATACCCAAAAAAAAAAAAAAAAGACCAACTGCACTGAATTTAAACAGACAAGGATCTCCATAGGACAGAGACCCAAACCCTTCCCTCCTAGACAGATGTGGTTTAACACACATGGGTGGAGCCTGGGCATATGGTTGTTTAGGGGTCTACAGAGTTGTGCCAGTCTTTTATGTACAATCCCACGTGGAAAATGTTGATGACAATAAAAAATGCCAGGAGGCACCAAGTCACAGTGCACCTGTAGTGTTCTGGTGTGAGTAGTCTACAATGCAGGCAGCCAGTTGATAACTGGCCTACTGTGGTGGCTGCATTTGGTTTGGGGACTAAGAAGGCAGGCTAGACATGACATCTATCTCAGAACACACGCATAGCACAGCCGTGCTTGGGTTAAGTGGCCATAGAATGACAGGTGAGGATGGATTCATCTTTGCCCTAGACATCTTGTGTTGTTCACTGTTGTTCAAGGTTAAAAGGAAAAAAATCAATGCAGAAATATAGCACAGCTAAACAGAATTTTTATATTTAAATCCCACCCCCATTGAAGCTGTTGCCCTCCAAATTTCAAAGATTGTCACTCATCACATGACTGTGGGCTATCAATGCAAATCTTATTTGTAAGTAACCACAAGCCACAAAAAGTTTGCCCAATTAATGCAGAGACATTTTTATGTCAGACAACAAGTTATGTGGCCAATATAGAAAACAGAGTCCCATCCCCAAGCCAGGCCCCATACAACCTTCCCAGAGTTGCCTGTAAGCAGGCCACTCTAAGCCCCAGGGTTCTGTGGGCCCCAACACAGCGTCAGTGAAGTCCCTCATGAAAAGGAGGTATTTCGGTATCACAGTCCACCCTTTTCTGTTGCCCTCTGTGGAGGACTCTGATCCTGATGAGCCCCAGGGTGGTCAGTTCGTATTGATTAGAAACAAAGGTTCAGATTTACTCCCCATATCCGAACAAATGGCCTTCTCATTTTTACATTAGTTCATGACTGAGCCAACTGAAACCGGAGCCTTTGAATGAATAGGTCAAGTCTGTTAGCCTGGAGCAAAACACATATGAGGCAAGCTGTGTACCCCAGAAAATGTGTCATTCAGAGTGGAAACAGTGACAACCCTTGAAAGGACAAGGTTTTGTTTCACCTACAGTGGTGAAATGGTTTCTTTAGTAGAGAGAAAAAAATCTTTCTTAATTTTTTTAAGTTACCATGGCATGAAAGAAAAATAGTTATTTTCTTAGGCTAGTATATTTCAACAATTCTAAAACTCTATGCCCATTATTAAGGACCTTGGAGACTGGTCATGCCCAGTCTACAGCCCACCAACATGAATGATCTTATTCATTCTCATGCTTCATTTTTATTGGTTATATTGAGTATATTATATTGTTCAAAATTAAAAGTGTGTGTGTAGAGCATGTCAGTGTTTCCTGGGAAAGGCAGTGCTCACATAACATCATTTTTATGAATCCAACTTACCACACCTGACCAGAGTACATTTAATCTGTAAAACACTGACTCTCTGAGCTCACACCAGCTCCAAGCAACTTTCTACTTACAAAACATATACCTTTTACCCTCTTACACTAGCACCAGACCCAAGTAACTATCTACATGTAAAACACAAGCGTGCGCGCACACACACACACACACACACACCCTAGCTCACCTGATCCAAGTACCTCTAACCCCTAGAGTCAGCGTATACTCACATTACCCTTTTAGCTAATTGTAACTGTCATTAATGGCCTGAACTATAAACTTTGGGTGTCCGGTATAATAAAACCCAGGGAGTAGGAGTGGGGGTGGAGCTTTCTCACTTGAACTCCAGGACAGGGTATGTGGGAGCAGGGTTGACTCTCAAGCAGTGCTTATTCCCTCAGCATATCCAGAGTCTGTTCACACTCTTCTCCTGGGGCGACATGTTTAGTTATAGAGGGAAACAAATACTCCAGCAAATGCTGTCCCTTACAAATGACTCTAACGCACAGGTAAGCTGTGTCCCACGGTAAGAATTGGAGACCTTGTGTGGTCACGCTTTCTGGATAAAGCTAGGATTCACCCCTCTTGAAAGGCAGTGGGAGGTGAAAATTTTACCTGGAGTCACGTGGCCCCCACAGTGGAATTCAGCTTCCAGCCTGTAACAGAACTGATCATGGGTGCAAGATATGAAAGCGTGTGTTCACCTTGAACCTCTCTCCCCTCAGACTGCTGGAGACAGTGTGCTAATGTATTCTGGCCTCTCTCCAATCCTGCCATCAGAAACTCACCTTCTTAGTGCTCAGTGTGCATAATCCCTTCTTTCCAGTGCCTACCTTATTGAGGCCATGTACATGTGACCCTCCTTTAACATTCTCACTCAGGGAGTGGAACATGGTAGTGCAAATGGTTAGCTCAGAAACTGGTAGATGTTCCGAAAGTAAGCCGTCTCAGCTGTCTAATACATGCATGCAGCTCTCTAATGCATGCCAGCACATTAATGTGACTTCTTGTCTGTGGAGCTGTGACAAAAGACAGGCCTGTGTAGAGAGCGTCACAGATCTGTATGAACCGAGGCCTCTGGGCAGAGCACAGCTACAGCACCGTACAGCCACGTGGAGAGCACCCTGCAGTAAGTCTCGGCCCACTGAGCCTCTGCCCAGAGTAGACCAGTGCTTCTACTCTGACATAAAGATCACTTCCTCAGGACTAGGCAGATGGCTTAGCAGACATCTCACTTACACAATCCTGAGACCCTGAGCTGGGATTCTGGGATCAGGTATAGCTGTAGCAGAGTGTACCAGTAATACCTGTGCTAGGGAAGCAGAGACAGGAGTCCCTGGACTCACTGCCCAATTAGTTCAGCCAAATCAGTGAGCGCCAGCATCAGTGAAAGGCTTTGTCTCAGAAATAAGATGGAGAGGTCTGGCAAGGGTCCCATGGTTAAGACCTCGTATGAAATCTGAGGTTGAGTCCCAGCACCCATGCCAGGCAATAACTCCTTCTCTAGGGGATCCAGTGTCCTCTGGCCTCCACAAGGAGAGAAAGAGAGAGAGACAGAGACACAGACACAGACACAGAGAGACAGAGACAGGGAGACAGAGACAGAGAGAGAGAGAGAGAGTCTATGTGTCTGTGTGTCTGTCTGTGTGTGTGTTTGTGTACACACTAACACAGAAGATCCATTCCCTACAATCAGAGCCTGTATGGCAATACACTAGAGGAAAATGGCTCCCTTAAGTCACTGAGTAAAAAGCAGCACACCGTTTGTTTCCCAGGCCCAGTGAGCTGAAGACTCATCTGAGACGTTCTGGGAAATAATTTATTTCAAGGCCTTTTCTCCCAGATATTCTGTTCCCACTAGGTCCCCGAGGGGCTAAGTAGAGAGGAAACTGCAATGAGTAATCAAGGTTATTCTTGTGGTAGGGAAAGTATGAGAACACTGTCCAGGGGCCTAGGGATGGCTTGGTGAAGTGCTTGCTACACAAGAATGGAGAGTGGCATGTGCTTGTAATCCCAGCATTGGGGATGCAGAGACAGGAGGACCCCTAAGACTTGATGGCTAGCCAGCCCCACCTCAATAACCCTAGCCAGGAAAGACATCTGATATTAGTCTCTTACTTTCACACACTGGAGCACACACATTCATGGGCACTCTCACACACAAGTGTAAGTATGCATGTGTCCTCATATGCAAGCACCCCCACCCACACACAGGCACACACACACACACACACACACACACACACACACACAGCCACTTAGAGCAGCCTAGAGTGGTCATGAGTGGGGATGGCAGAGCAGTCGTGCAGAAGAGAAGTTGAAGTCTGCTAAAGGCCACAGCCCATTCCCCTGGCAGAGATTTCCAAGGATGTCCCAGGCTGAATCAAAGTTGCTGATATTCACAAAATCATTGTCCAATTCCTGAGTCCCTTGGGATTCTGAAGAAATGTTTATCCCCTTTGCCTTCACATACCGTCCCACCACTTCTCCAAGTCATATTCTGAGCAGAACATTTGTTCTTGGAAAAAATAAACCGCTGTGCCAGAGGAAAGAATTAAAAAGGGGGCAGAACCACAACCATCCACTTTAAACCTTCAGCTTCAAAAATACCTTGTGGGGGCTGACCTCGTGACTTCCCTGAGGGCACACTTCTCAAGAGCTGGAAACTATTTGAGGCTTCAAGGTGTAGGTCAAGTTTAATAAGTCAGTGAGAACAGTTAGTGGCCCTGGTCTTTCACTGTTGAAACTGAATGTCACATTTAGCCTTAGAACAAAGTCCCCAACTCCCCATGCTTTTTGGATACTTTATGAGGAAACATGCCAGGATATATGTCACACTTGATATTTCTACAAGAGTTCTCACTACTACCACCATTAAAAGAATGAAAGCAATGCATTTGCTAATTAGCCCAATTTACCTATTCATTAGTGTATGTGTGTATGTGTGTGTGTGTGTGTATGTGAGCATGTGATATTGTATACCATAGATAAGAGACAATGTTTATTTGTTAATTTTTAAAAGTTTTTTTGAAGTGTAAGGTTTTTTTAAAGTAATTGTTAGAGTTAGGACAATGGATCAGTTGGTAAGCTCTTTCCCAAAGGCCAGAGGACCTGAAGCCAGCCATTAAAGCCCCCACAAGAAAGCTGAGCATGGTAGCAACAAGCTTGTAGTCTAGTTAGCCTAGTTGGGTGGCCCCGTTTCAAAGGAGGTGAGTGACATTTCTAAGCAGGACACCTTGGGTTATCCTCTGGCATCCACACGCACAGGCTCCTGCATGCTTACCCATGTGAATCTGAAGATGCACACACATGTAAACATACACAATACGTGCATTAAAATTAACATAAAACTGTTTTTATGGTAATGTTTGAACCAGATATTTTGGTAGACCAAGTATCAGTCAAATGTGATTAATCCTGGCAGGAACTAAAGAAAGAATTTTCTGTGGGGAATGTGTAAATATGTGAGCTTATAACATTACCCACACTACCTCTGTTTTCTTATTTTGGTATGCTACTGTTTTCTTACTTTTCAGGAGGCACCACTGTCCTGGCCACAGAGAAACCAACCATTATCGACAGCACCATCCAATCAGGTATCAAAATCTGAGACGTCTTAGATTCCATGCACTCCTTCCAATCCCACTCCCAAACAGAGTCCCAGAGCTTTGTGGTTTCAGTTGCTCTAAAGACCTAGGAGAGATGCCCAGGCATCCGGTCTCACGGAAAGCTGTAAGAGCCACATGCCTTTGGTCCTCGGTAAGCTCCAGTGAGCAAGGTTCCCTTCCTCATCAGTCACTGCTGAATGACAAGTCCCAGCTACCCCCCAGGGAACTGAGCAACATACTTTGTTTAATTGCAGCACAGCTCTGATGTGGCCTGTGTTTGCAAACTAGAAGAAGGAAATCTCACAATCCCCAGCCTAACAATTTATTTTCATCACCATTCTGCAAAATCAAGAGGCGCAAAGTTTGTCTGTTGCGCCTGCCACAGAGTTGGCAGTTTTACAACGGCGCTTACAGTGGGTGTGCCACGAGACGGGCTCAGGAAACCAAGGTTTACACTGCCTGGGCAGAGAAGCACCCTGGAGCAGCCCACTCATCCTTAGCTCAGAGGAAACCCAAGGACTCTGCACGCCCAACCGTGCGGGTTATCAAAGGCTGTCCTCTTTTGTTTTCTGTTAGTATTCTGTGACATTCTTCCCCACAGACTCCCATGAAGGGAAGCACTTGTATAAGCAACTAGGCTTTTTTTTTTAATACTTTGGAGTTAATCATTAGAGGAAGGTGAGAGGGTCAGCCTTCCAGATTCTTCCATTTCCTTTATTGAAGTTCACTCAGCCTTGGCCTCTGCGGTCATTTATTAATGGACCGTGTGGTGTGTATCAATGTTTCCTCTGCACTGACTGCCTGAGAGAGGACTAGAAAGGACTGCCCTAATTAGCATGCTTCCTTAAAGGCCACTGTCACCGTTGACCTGATTAAACTGCAAGGCAAGTTTCTTCTGTGGAACTTTCCCCCAGTTTTCTGGCACTCGGGCTGACAAAATGCTTGCTCCCACATAACCTGAAACCACTTAGACACGAGGCAGAGGAACAGTCACCCAAATACCCCAAATGCGGTATTCCTCTACACACCTTTCCAAGTTAATAATTTGACTTTGGGGGCTGTAGCTTAGGATGTCGCTAGGCTCTGAACCCCCGGCTCTGGTAGCCCTGAGATGCTAGGTTTGTCTACCCACCCTCAACAGGTCACTCAAACAAACAAGTGATAGCCACAAGCAGAAAAAGAAACTGGGAAGAGGAACAAAGAGGTTCAGCGACCCTCAACTCTATCTTAGAGATTCTGACATGAGATTTATGTTTAAATAGAGGGCTATCAGCCCTGTGTGAAATCTTCCCAGAGATAAGTTTCCCCCTCTGGCTGGCCCAGGCATGAGCCTTCCTCCTCCCAGCATAAGAGTCATGAGGGAAATTCTAATGTTGTTTTAATAGTCTAATGACAAAGGGAAGGGCACCAGTGTCTTTTGCAAGTGTTTTATTCCTGCCAGGCTATTACAAGGAAGAAGGTCCTGGTCTGCATGTCCTGAGGGAGCATCTCAGGAGTGGGACTGTGGCTCTCAATATGCTGTCTTTGGAGGAAGACAAAGTGAATAAGCAAAGTTGTGATGCTGCCATGTGTGTTTTAACTACTCTTCTAGTCTCTTCTCTTGCTAGAAGTGGTTAGAACCACTCTGCAGTAGTGAACTCACTTGCCTCATTCATCTCTCTTCTCACCTATCAAAAGAGCATTGGTGTCTTTGGAAAGAACGAAAGTGAAGGTCACGGTGACCAGACATGAGTGGTTTTAGTATCACATTTGCATTCTACGGGACCTCTAGGTCATTCTTGTGAAGGTCTTACAAGCAGGGGCCATCAGCCCTCTCTCAGGGTCTGCCCTCTCTCAGGGCAGGCGTACAGAGCATGAATCAGTACGATTTGTTGCTACCATCATCTAGACAAGACTGGTTCAAACAGTCCATCTGACTGTAGAGGCAGACAATGTACTTATTATTTCCTATTTATTCCATTGTCTGAGTTATGAATCTGGTCTCCACCTCCTCAGTGGAGGGTCATGAACTGTCTGACCTTTGGATGATATCTGTTCAATATAACATTCTGATCAGGTGGAGGCATGGGCCTCAAAAGGACTGAATGTGCTTCCCACCAGAGGTCCAGCTCAACAGCTCAAGATTAGGTTGACCACACCTAACCCTTGCTGCATACAGGCCTCCCACACTTCACAGGCAGCGGCAGCAGTAGACAGACCCCAAGTATTCATCGAAATTCTATTTTCCTGAGCAATTACAGGCTAAGCAGAATCTTGAGACTCTGCTTTCAGGGATGAGGGGGCATCTCAGTGAGTAAAGGCACGAAGTTACCCTGCTGTACAAGCGTGAGAACCTGAGTTCAATCTCCAGAACCCACATAGAAAGTGGGGTATACAGAGCATGCATGGAGCTGGAGACAGGCAGATCTCAGTGACCCGCTGGAACAGAGATGGGGGTACCTGAGGAATAGCGTCTGAGGTTGGCCTCTGATACACTCACACAAACATACACACATGCACACACACACACACACACAGAGACAGAGAGAGAGAGAGAATTTTTATCACTACAAAATATGTAGTGTTGGCAGGAATACAACACCCATACACTGCCTAGGTGGTCATCAGAGGCAGAAAAGTCGATTCACGCACCCCTCCCCGCTCCATTAAGGCAGTTCTCTGCATTCATCCGCTGAGACTCTTCTCGAACCCCACAGCAGCTCACAGTGTGTCGGTGACTTATGATCATGTGGGCTTCCATACCTCACTTGCTTGGACTTTAGGACCAGCGACGGCTAAGCAGATAGGAGCCTTAACTTGAAAATTAAGTTGTTGCTTACATCCTGTGCTAATGACTCAACTGCAGGCAAGATCGGTTCGGCAGCACAGCTGGCACTTGTTCACAGAGCCATAAATTTGTTTTAAGTTCAGAATATTGTTTCCTGCTATTTTTAAGAAGGGATTTAGTCCAATTATTACTATTGAATTTAATGAGAACTGTGCACAACTCCAGGGCCTGGGTGATAATTTAAAAGCTTAGCTGTCAGTGTCCCTGTGTCTTCGTATCTTTCCTCCACTTGACTTTCTTGTCTTCCTCTCTCCCCCTTTTCTCCTTCTTTCCTAGTCCTTGCAGTTTTCTTTTATCTCCTACAAATGTCTGCTGATAAGGGTTAGTCACCCTTTGATCGAGGCTTGAGTTGTCAGCACTGAACTACACACTTCACAATCCCCTGTCCCCCTGAAGTGCTTTGAATTTTCTAAATGATTAAGATAGCCATACTTCATCAAAACAAGACAAGAAGACAGGGGTCCAATACATTGAAAAAGTGGCCCCCTAGTTAAATTCTAGGGCTGTCCAGGCCACAGGATGCTACTGGTAGATGACTATCCACTGAGGAGGCTAACGTGAGGAACAGCTTTCTCCTTGTCCTGGTCATTGCTAAAATGCCAGGTTCGTATGCTTTATGATGTCTTCAGAATGTTAGCTCACATATTGCATGAGTGTGGATTTCTGTGTTAGCAAAGTGGATGTGTGCTGTGAAGGCTTTCTGTCCTCTTGCATATCTTACAAAGCAGACTGAAGCAGAAAAGTCAAAACCTCACACTTTCACATCAACATTTCCTACCATGAGGTTACACAACAGTACATTCCAAGGGCAAGGACATTGACCACACCATCTGCAAAAGTCAGTTGTGCTGCCCAAGGGAGGCAAGTTCGGGAGACAGATTTTTGAGCCTTATGAAGTTCCACTTCATGCTCCAATGGCTTGCACAGGAAAAACCCCTCTCCTTTGACACTCAAGCTGTCCTTCTGCACTGGCTGAGCATGTGCATAATAAACATGTCACGTGACCAACTTTTCTTTTGGAACCAGCTCTGCCCACCCTTTGGGAGGTCACATTACCTCCTTATAATAAGGAATTACATCCCACTTCTGATTATTCGTATGGTGAGTTCCTTCCAAAATCGGGCATTAGCACTTGAAAAGAATTCCTTGGAAACCAAAACACGCATATTAAATCATCCTTATCTATTTAATAAATCTTCCCATTACAATCCCTCCCTCCCTCCATTGTTCAGTAGGGGGAGGGGCACTGGAAGAGCTGTCGCAGGACTTTGTGTTAAACACTTGGGCAAGTTAAAGAAATGCTCAAAAGGAGGCGAGGTCCCCGCCTGACCCTAAGGCAGCCCATAATAGCAGGCTTTCCTTTATTGTATACTACACATCCTTTGAGACTTCAGTTGGGCAGTCGCCTCCGACGTGCCTCTATCCGACTCAATACTGCCATCTAGTGGATGCCTGCTCTCAGGCTTGCTCTTCGTGGGGACAAGGCTAGCATAATGATCTCATCTTTGGAATTGTTTTCAGCCTTCGCTGACTCCGCCCCCCCAAAAAAAATCGTACTATCACTAATTTCTTCCTTCAGTAGTTCCAAACTCAAAACCCTTTCAGAGCATCGGGTTGAGTAAAGAAAAGTCTTTGGGTTTATGGACCACTAAGGTCAGCCGCCTTCCTACCAACCCATTAGCGTTTTCAGCTTCCAAAGGAGGCATTTGGAAGACTTAAAAAAGTATTTCTGAAGGGTCAATGTTTAAATGAGTTTGGGTGTTATGTGACCTCGAGTTGAGGTTTTAAGTGAAGTGAACAATTTATATGCAAATGTAGAAGTTCACCAAAAAAAAAAAAAAGCCAGAGATTTATTCTGAAATTAATTGACCTGGCGGAAAGCACAGAAGAGAGAAAATAATCTCAGCCAAAAACGCTTCAGTCATTCCTCCATGACACGAGCTTGGGCAGTCCTGTCAGCTGGTGTGATGAGAAAGGAGTCTCAGGGCCAGGCTTCCTCCCAAGCCACATCCCAACTTCGGAGGCTCACAGTCAAGTTATCATAAGATTCCTTTCATTGACGATATCAATTTTTATGGTTTATCCTCAATAACAGATTACCTTTCCTATTGACTATTGTGCAAACAGGGAAAATGCCCCTGATGTCCCCTACACAGGTTCCTTGGAAAGCAGTCTTCCTGGGAATATTGCATAAATCAGTTTACTGGGAAAGTCATGTTCTTGATAAAGATGGACCAGACACAAAAGTAGAATAGTAATGCTAAACATGACTTTGCAAACATGTCAATGTGTTCAGGCATCTGGTAGTTTCTTGGTAATCTTGGATTTTATGGGTTTCCCAGATATGAAATTTAAAACAGATATTAAATCATTTTTAAAATGTTGTCCAGGAGAATATCAATGACCTTCCTTAACCTGGTGGTTAATTCTCCCCATGTGTCTGTCTGTCCTTCCCCACTGAAGAGTTCCCGACCTATGGCTTTAACTGCGAGTTTGGCTGGGGCTCTCACAAGACGTTCTGCCACTGGGAACACGACAGCCATGCACAGCTCAAGTGGAGTGTGCTGACCAGCAAGACAGGGCCCATTCAGGACCATACAGGTAAGCATGTCACCATGGCTCCATGCTAGGCACATCTTTGGCTACCAGGGAAGGTTCCTGACACCTGTAGCTTACGGGTGATAAGAAATGCTAGAAGTGTTCACTCATGCCCCAGTTTTCTGGAATTCTCCAGGTTTCTTTCCTTAGTGGAGAGAGGCCTGGGGCAAGAATGGGAATTCTGACTGAGTCTAGCCACTGGTTGGCCTCCCTCAAGAAACAACAAAGTAAGCACAAATGGGAGAACCACGATTACTTTTGCCACATTCAGTGAACTCAAGCTCATTATAGTTTTTCTGGACTTTCACTAAAGACATTATCAGTAGTGGAGAGGGAGGGGATGCTTAAAACCAGACATGGTTAAAAAAACAAACAGACAGACATTGTAGATAATGTGTGCCTGTAATCCTAGCACTCAGGAGGGGCAAAAAGGAGGATCAGAAGTTTAAGGTCATCTTGGCTGCATACTAAGTTCCAGACCAGCAGAGCCTATGTGAGACCCTGTCTCAGAAAAGAAACAATACTGTCCAGTGGACCCTGCCTGTGCACAAGCATGCCTCCTTGGCGACCTCTGCACCCCAGACTCTGCTAAGGCATGGCCAGGCCCAGCACACTGTCCCCTTGCCTCTTCTGTGTTCCCCTGAAGTAAGAGAGAACAATTGAATAGACATCACTCAACCCTGCCCATTTCCTCTAAGCTCCATACTCCAGTTCTCAGTTATGTCTTCCTCTTATGAGAAATTGCTGGGAGGAGAATGATTCAGTGTGCTCCTTCCCACTGCTGTCCTGGGTTTGTTTTTTTAGGGGGAGGGGCTGTTTGATCGTTTGTTTGTTTTTGTCTTTACCCAGCATGAGCTTCTTCCACAGAGCCAGAAGCATCCTGACACACTCACACACACCTACTTCCACAGACACTCACTCCCTACACACACACACACACACACACACACACACACACACACCACTCCTGAGATGTATTTGGTAATGGGCCATCAAAAGACCCCTAAGCTGAATATTTGGAGTGGTGAAGGACCCCTAAATGTTCAAATGCCAGCCCTGGGGGTGGCGGGCTTGTAGGCTGCCAGATGGGTAGAAGGGATCCCACCCCTCTCCCTCTCTGCTGTTCACTTTTCCACAATGAATCTAAGCACAAAGTAAGCTGAAGAGGCCCTTTCTGCCACGGCTAGCTCCTCTCCTAATGAAAGTGACAAGGAAATTGGATAAAATTGGACTCCTTCAATTCCGAGACACTTTCCATTGAGTCTTAAGACAAGCAGTTTTAGAAAACTTAAAATACTTTGACTGTAAATGGCACTGTACACATAAATGGCATCAGATTAACTAAATGCAATTAGCTGAGATGAAGGCAGTAATGGTGGAAAAATGGCTCAGGAGGACCTGACGTTTAAAGGGGGGTGAAAAGCTGTATTAGCCAGACACAAAAGCTAAAAGGCCTCACCGAAGTAGAGTGCTAATTGAGAAAATGAAGACACAGTTCCCGACCCAGAGTCGGATAAAATGTCTGAAAGGGAACACCGGCACTTTGCGCGTTGGAGAATCACAAGAGGACGTCTCTGGGATTCACAGCACAAAGTGTGACTCCTTCCAACTGCGTGGCTCCTTTGTTCTGCTGACCAGCCGCTGAGGCTGACTGGCAGCTGGCTCTGCCTTAACTGGAAAGAGCCTCCCATGTGGGAGAAGTACACATGCCTGGTATGGCAAAGGCACGAACTTGTTAACAAGATACAATCTAGATGAAAACGGCCCCTCCCACCCCACCCCACCCCCCACGCTGATGGGTTATTCACTTCTTTTTCTTTTTTGAGATGGGGACTCAGTCATGCCATAGCTGGCCTTACGTTCTCACTGTGTGGCTGATGGTGATGACGTTGAATTTCTAATCCTCCGGCCTCTATTTTGGAGTGCTACACCTGTAGGCATGTGCTACCACACCCAGAATCATCTGCTCCTGGGGAATGAACCCACGGCTCTGTGCATGCTAGACAAGCACTGTACAAACGGTGCTACACCCCCCCCAGCCCTACTTCTTAGTCATTTCACTAGGCAGCTAGGCATAGTGGTGCTTACTAGAGTTCCAGCCCTCAACAAGAGGGCCACAAGTTCAAGGCCTGCCCATAGTGAAACACCTCCTCAAGAACAATAATAATGATATTTATAGATTGGAAGTTGAGGCATTTCTAAATTGTTACTACTTTGGTAAAATTCCTAAGTTTGAATGTAAAAGAACCCACTCAGCTTTGTGTTCTTGTCTATACGAATGGGCCTGTGTGCCTGTTTATAAATGGTTCTAGCTCCTTTCCCTTGTTCCCTGAATGCTGGGGGTGGGAGGAATGGTCTTGTGTCTAGTTTTGAGCAGAAACCATCACAGTGTGACTGGAGGGGTGTTCAGTGACAGAGGCATGAATTTTTAAGGGTAAAAGGGAACCCAGTGAGGACTGGGAAAATGGGTCTGTCAGTAAGGTGCCTGTCATGCACACATCTGGAGCAGTGGTCTACCTCCACCCCTCCTTGTGGATCCATTCGTTGACTTAATAAGAGCATCCGTGAGAGCTCAGGTTGATTGCTCAGTAAGAGAAGAACGCTGCCTACTGAGACACTTAGACACTATTGAAACCAGGCATGAGGACATGCCCACACATGCACAGTGAAAAGGTACCTCGAAGGTCTGCAAGCCTGTGAGCCAAGGAAGGAAACACCCTGCTGCCCTCTGGGGCCTGAGCATCACATTACACCCCCAGTTACGTCAGCTGAGGTGTGGGAGTTTGTGACTCCTATTCATAGAGCAGAAAGGCAGCCCACGAGTTGTGTGTTTAGACCAGGTGGAAGCAAGAACAAATGTTCCCACTGGGGGTGATTAAAGCAAAGCCAACAGCAAGTCCTCATGGTGCCACAAGTGTCGCCATTGCCAAATGGCGTATTCAAATGAGTGTCGGAAATGCAGACTTGCTTCTCCTTGGACAAGAAGCACAGCAGACAGAAGTAGGCTTGCAGGTGAGAATCAAACTCCTGGGCACACCTGAGAAATCCATAGATAATTAACATAAACTAAAGGGAAATTAAGAACAATTTTTTTAAATGTTCAGGAATTGGCGAGATGGCTCAGCCAGGGGGAGAAAAAGTGCTTGCTTTGTAAACACAAGGATAGGAATTCAATCCCCAGAATGCATGTTAAAAAAGAAAGAAAGATGGAAAAGAAACAGATGTGGTGACATGGACTTGTTATCTTAGCACTAGGGACAGGTGTATGCCTGAAGCTGGCCATCCAACCTACCCTATTTGTGGAGTTGTAAGTGGTTGACACCCGGTCTCAAAAAACAAAGTGGTTAGCACCTGAAGAATAATGCCCAAATGTAGTCCTCTGACTTCTACATGTACGGTATGGGTGGCAGAAAGTCACTTTCTCTGAAGTCTGGAGACAGACTGTGCATAGTCTACCTTTGGCAGTATGAAGACAAATAATAAGTTCTAGCCTGGTTCCCTGTGTCGCCATGATCCAGGTAGGCAGTCCCAAACAAAGGCCACCCAATGCCTCTCAGAGTAAGGTCACAAGTACCCATGGGGCTCTCTTTCTGCTAGCTCCTTGGTTCCTTAGTGCCCAGCCCAGGAGGATGTCTGTATGGATAGCAAGTACTCAGGAGGAGAGAGAGAAAAGAGCTGTAGACTTGCCTGGTCTCCCTGACACAGAGTTTTGCCTCAGCAGGAGATGGCAACTTCATCTATTCCCAAGCTGATGAAAATCAGAAGGGCAAAGTAGCCCGCCTGGTGAGCCCCGTGGTCTATTCCCAGAACTCTGCCCACTGCATGACCTTCTGGTACCACATGTCCGGGTCTCACGTGGGTACACTGAGGGTCAAACTGCGCTACCAAAAGCCAGAGGAATACGATCAGCTGGTCTGGATGGTGGTCGGTCACCAAGGAGACCACTGGAAAGAAGGGCGTGTCTTGCTGCACAAATCTCTGAAACTATATCAGGTATGAACCCTCCCACAAAGGGAAGACTGGGGCTTCGGGACACTGGGATATATGGAATGCTTCCCCACCCTGAACTGTTGCCTCTGTGACATTTGTCTTGGTGACATATCTCACTACCTCTTAGATGACAGCCAGGAAAGGGGGGAAAATCTTCATTATAATACATTCCTGAGATGTCACGGATACCCTTCCTTTCATTTAAATCTTTTCTTCCTTGATGAAAAAAATGAATGTGAGGAGAGGTTTGAATCATCTCTGCCACCAATAGGGAGGAATGATCCTCTTGTGTCTATATGCAATCTCATGGGTTTAACTCACATGAAGTCTCATGAACTTACACCAAAGCTTCCACTGAGAGAGCGTCTGTAAATATCACTGTTGAAGACAGAGCGTTAAAATATTGTGGAAATCATCTTGTTTTTTTTCAGGTGATTTTTGAAGGTGAAATTGGGAAAGGAAACCTTGGTGGGATCGCTGTGGATGACATCAGTATTAACAATCACATTTCTCAGGAGGATTGTGCAAGTAAGGATAGCTTCGGGGTGGGGATGAATCCCTGGCAGGATTCTTTGCATGGGACAGAGTCTGCCTTATCATTTAGACCAGAAGCCAATGCAGGCAGGGCATAAAGTGGGCCAGTGTATCTTCACTCACTTCCTCCTCTAACCTAGTCACTTAGAAAGTCTGGTTGACACCTCCAGAATCCAAAGACTGTGGTTTAGAAGTCATAGCTGGCACACGGAAACATTTTGATGGAGAATAGAGCACACAGACCTCTGGACCGTTCCCATAGCTGAGTGTGGAAACAAAGCAGTGGACCTTCTAAACAAGTTGATAACAGAGAATTGAATTGAGATTACCTTGTCAGTGAGTCACAGACACCGCCATTCGCCACTGTATTATAAATAAGTGGGTGCTTCTAGCTCTGCCACTAGCTGACACAACTTGGCAGGTAATGGCGATTCAGAGATCTACCTAACGGGGTTGATTATAATGGCTTCATACGGTCCACAGATGATAGTCAGACATAGAAAGCTAATTCATATTCCCCAGTTCTTGATCTGTAATTACAAATAGCATCACTAATGACAATGTAATAGCACAGTAATTAGTCTTAAGCTCCATTTGCTACACTGAAACTTTTGTTACATATCATTACATAATAGGCTGTTAATTATAACAGAATGAAATAAGCCTGCTGGGCGAATTGCAGACAAAGGAGGCCTGTTGGCTGCAATGAGTTTTTGGTCATTTCTACAACTTACAAGTCTTTTATTATATAGTACATTGACTGTGTGTAGTTCTTAAAGGGGCAATAGTTTGATACCATTAATTGAAGAAACTAAAGAGAAAGAAAAAGAGTGAATAATGGTCCGCTTCTTCATTCTACATAAGGAAGCTTCTTCAATGCCACTCCACCCAACAGCTTCACAAAACAACACAGCTTTAATAATTCAGCTGACATTGTTTTTGCAAATTACTCATTTCTATGGCTATCTGGCTATTCAAATGTACAGTTAACACAATGTGTGTAATACTGCATTCCTCTCCCAAGTTGAGACTAAGAAAGGCATGTTCCAGGTATAAAAGAGCAGATTCCATGAATGAAAACAAAGACATAAACTAAGTTCAGGCCAGTAAGTTCTCACCATCTATGTACTGTATATAAAGCAATGTGCCAAGTGGTACATTAGATGGACACTGGTCGTGTGAGTTTTTTCTTTTAATGGTTTTTGTCTATTTAGATATGCCAACAAGGAATGGTCTAAAAGGGGTGGTTGAGGCAGCAAGCTGAAGACCTGAACTGGGATCCCTAGTGCCCAGGCACAGATGTGTTCTAACATCTGTAGTCTCAGCATTGGGTAGGCACAGACAGGTAGACCCCTTGAGCACATGGGCCACCAGTCCACCTGAATCAGTGAACTCCAGGTTCAGCGAGAGCTCCTGTCTCAAAAACTTAGATGAAAAGAAACTGAGAAGTGATGCTTGACATCAGCCGCTGGCCTTCACATGCACATGTGCATAATTATATAATTACTCACAAAATATATATTATTGGACATTCCAGTCATGGAGGCTATGGGTGCTAACTACATACGAAGCATTCATTTGTACAAGTTTACCGAAGTGTTTATTATGTGTTAGACTAGATTTTAAATTCAGGGACAAAACAGGGAACGCAGGACTGTACCTATTCCCAAGGCTTCACCTTTTCCATAGGATTTTATTTATTTCTGATGTAGTCCAGGAGGAAGTTTCCTAGTTCAAGGAATCGTTGTGCTATTTCAAAACCCAGGTTAGTACACACCAGCAGTAGGAAGCAGCTACCAGCCTTCTACATTCGCATAGTGACGGGTTCATTCCCATTTGTGTTTCTTATTTTCATCAGTCTTCTACATCCCATATACCAAAACCTGTCCCTCTGCCCTTCACAGTGTCTTAACGGCATTTCTGCATCATGGAAAGGGACACTGTGCAATATTAACTCCTATGGAGGCCCAGCAGAGGGGTTGGAGGGTTTCTGTGCAGTTCGTGTGTATCATATCTGTTTTATTTTATTGGCGGTTTAAACATCTCTTTCCATTTTCTTTGCCTTATCAGAACCAACAGACCTAGATAAAAAGAACACAGAAATTAAAATTGATGAAACAGGTAAATTCATCTTACTGATCAGCCTCTGTTTTAATTTCCTATGTTTTTGTTGTTTATAAATAAACATCACTGAAATCCTCAGACACTCCTGTATCCAGGCAGTTTAGACAAAATAAGTCCCTGTGTCTAAGTGAGTGGGCATGGATTGGATCATTGTCACAGAGTACTGTGTGTCCTTAGCTGCCTAGGGGACTTGGGAGTGACACTGTGAGGTTACACTCCACAGAGTAAGTATGCCCAATCCTTCCGTGCCTGAGCTTTTTCACTGAAACACAATCACAAAAGGGAAAATTGTGAAGACTATTCATGTAATCATTTGAAGCCAACAAATCCTGTGTTTCTCCCAGGTGGAATTTTGAGGAGGGAAGAAAGCCTAGCTTCTCTGGGGATCTTGTCCTGCTCCCTTTCCCTGACCCTGCAGCCTGGGGGTGACATTAATGGTGGAAGTTCCCAAGGGATTTCTGTACACTCCAAGCATTAGAGACCCTTCATCTTGAACCCTCCGAACAGTTGCACAGGGCGAGCTCCCTCTCGTTTGACAGACAACAGAACTAAAACAAAAGTAGCACGGCTAATTACAGGTAGCCTTGGCTGTTTTATTAACTGTAAAATGTGTGGTTTGAGCTAGCATTTCCTCAGTGCTCACATATAAGACTGAGCTAGGTCCTGGAAGTTCCCAAACCACCTGGCCAGCACTGCTCACAGTTAGCAGGGACAAGGAAGAACCAATGCCATCTATTGCCATTGGAAATGTGGCCCTACTATATGTATGGCCAGCACAGACTGATAGAAACAATAAACACTGCTCTGTGCTGTTGGAAATATTAACATATTACCAAGTCCACACAGCTGTAAACTTTATTGGAAGTTGTTTCAAAACAATCTTTCATCAAGGGAGAGAGTATTAATATGCCCCCAAGGCTTGTTTTCCCTTGTTTAGGGACTCACATCTCATATTTTTAGTTTGTGCTGATTGGAATCTCAGTTGATCAGAGCACCATTAAGTAAACACCACACAAGCTGCCCATTAGCATTTCAGTCCTGCTCCTAGCACCAGGTAATTAGGCTCAAAGCTCCCATGCTAATAACTTCTCATGTTCCACTCTAAAGCAAACACATCCCTAGTGACTCCTTTGCAGAGCAGTGTGGCTGTCGCCAGCAGCATGGTCAGGGTGGTGAAGATGCTGATTAAATGTCTTCTACTTGGCACAACGCAGACACTGTTTCTTAGTCGGGGCCACAGCCCTTTCTGCATGATAGGAGTGGGCATTAGTCTATTCAGAAAAAAGTCTCTCTTCCAGGATTACTAGATAGTTTGGGGTTTAAGGGTGTTCACGGCTTTCTATGTAAAAACCCACGGGGACACTAAGAACAGCATCCCATAGTGGCGCCGCACCAGGCCTGCCTGGGAGGTCAGGCAGAAGTCAGGAGAATGTTTAGATCCACCCACCAAACACAGTATTCAACTGTGTGGCCAAGACTTGACAAAATTTCATGCCTGCACATCTAAGACTGGGGATGTAGCTTAGCTGCTGGAATGCTAACCCAGCATTCACTACACTTTGGTTTTAATCTACAGCAGCGTATGTATTAGGCATAGTGGTGCATGCCTACAATCCCAACGCAAAGGAAACAAAGGCAGGAGGATTGGAAATGCAAAGTCATCCTCTGCTGTATGTCGAGGCCAGCCTGGGCTTTAGAAAACCTGACTATCATGCATGACTAACTCTCTGGATGAGAACTATAAACACATCTGTCACGCTAGAGTGATTTAAACTAGACTGTGACCTCAGTGTCCACCTCCAAATCCCAACATCCTCACCTGCCACCTCTCCACTCCTCATGCACGGGAGCATGCAATGGCTCCTAGATCCTTCCTGTTTTCCCTCGTTGTCTGTCTCCTCACACGTGGCCTGTCAGCATTCATGAGTCAATCTTGTCTTCTTCCTCAGGGAGCACCCCCGGATATGAAGGGGAAGGGGAAGGTGACAAGAACATCTCCAGGAAACCAGGCAACGTGCTTAAGACCCTGGACCCCATCCTCATCACCATCATAGCCATGAGTGCTCTGGGGGTACTCCTGGGTGCCGTCTGTGGAGTTGTTCTGTATTGTGCCTGTTGGCACAATGGGATGTCGGAAAGAAACCTGTCTGCCCTGGAGAACTATAATTTTGAACTTGTGGATGGCGTCAAGTTGAAAAAAGACAAACTGAACCCACAGAGTAATTACTCAGAGGCATGAAGGCGCAGATCTGGAGGGAGCACGGGAGGACCGAGGTGGGAGGACAGTGGAGGTGCGGGGACTCTGTTGCTCTGCTCTCACTGTAAGCTGGAAAGGGCGTCCGTGACGCCACGCCAGGCTTTTCTCAGGAGCTTCAATGAGCGTCACCTACAGACGCAAGCAGGTGACTGGTAACAACCGGAATCATGTACCGCCCACTTTCTTCTCTTGGTTTCATTTGGATAATCAGAAGCCGGTTGAGACCAAGTGTGACTGACTTCATGGTTCATCCTCTCTTCCCCGCTTTTTTCTCTCTCCTTACCCTGTGATGGATTCTTCTCAAAAACTGCAAAATCCAAGATGCTGGCTCCAGGCATTGTTCAGTGGGCCCTTTTGATGGGCATGCGATCTGTAGCCCAGTGCCCAGAGCATATTAGTGTAACCACGTATCAGGGGACACCAACATCCGCCTTTGCCTCGCTAACCTGCAGTGAGCGCAGCGTGGGGGAGAAAAGAATTAGACTATTTTGTCTGCAAAGTACTGTGGCCTCAGTACCCGTATAGCGTGTCAGCTCTGTTTACCAAGCAATACCGACAGATTTTATTGATGTTTTACAGTGTTGTACCGAATCTCGTGTTTGTGACCTCCATTCAGAATACCATACCATGCAGCCACCAAACTGCTGGCACCTGGGTGTCCCGCTGATGACCACCACAAAAGTCTTCGGCACTGGCTAGTCTTCGTCCTCTCAAGTGCCTTTTTGTTTGTACTGGTTCCTTGTGTCCCGTGGATGACCCACTCTGTTTCTGGTGAAAACCCTTCTCTTCAATCAGACCTGGTGGCCCACTGACTAAGAAGAAAGTATATTTTAGTGTGCTACGCCGACCCCGGGAAGGCAAGGGCTCTGAAGACCTGGCAACGTGGCTTAATTGTTCTGCTTTTTTCTGAAGTTCAATGTCATGTCTCTTGACCCTTTGTATAAAGCTGCAATGTTCTCTCTCATTGTTCTTTCCTATGGAATGTATTTTCAGATGTAAACTCTTGACTCTTTCTCTCTTCCCTCCGTCCTTTTTTCCTCTCTTAGAATCGAAGCATTTGCCACTGTCCAGAATGAACCTTGCAGCTTTAACCTGCTGGCGATGGCGAACAATTTTACTAGACTTTATGTTTTAAGATAATTAAGTAAGGGGAAATTCCTAACTTTGTCCTCCAAAGTCTAACTTTGGGTTTCTTGTTAACTGGTTAAAGTGACAGTATCTTTTTTCCTTAAGCCATGTGCTCATCCATTATGATTAGGTTGATGTTTAATATGAACATTTGCATCTAATGGAAGTCATGAGATGAAAGAAAAAAAAGAATACCAACTGGCTTTCTGATGAGACCCACAGGAAACAATGAATAAAATCCCCAAATCTAAAAGGACTTGAAAATTTTACATCCAAATATACAAAATGATCCCTGAGAACCTTCCTGTTTTGTTATTGGGTCAGAGGAGGGGCGGGAAAAGAACAGCTCATTTAAGATATAAACAATAAACCTGATGCCCAAGGCAAAGCTATTTTAAGACTCGGCAGAAGGGGTGCATAAAGTCAAAGCCAATGTTTAGAGCAAACTATTCAACAGAAACCCTGAAAAAAATTTTAATGACTGCTTCTAGAAACTTCCAATGACTAATAAAGAGGAAAGGTCTATCTTAGGGCTGGCAAGGCATAACCTTCAACAGCACAAAAAGGTTGATATCTTAACCCAAAGCAGCTTGTGGCTGGTGGAATCTGTCTTGTGGAGCTGTATGTAAGAACTCCCGAGTCTTCTCCTTCCCCATGTGGCTGTAGGTCTCAGTTATGTTTCCTGGAGATCACATTTGCTTCCTGGATGAATGGTCCGTTCACCTTGGTTTAATGGGATTGAGAATGTCTTTTTTCCAGGAAAGTATTGATCACACACACAAAAAAGATTATGTTTTTATTCCCAGGGGCATCTTTTACTTGTTACAATCATACTGGGAGGAAAGCATTAAGTGAGACTTTGTTTCTAAGGCAACAGACTTAACCCATGTCCTCAGCCAAGGAAAAAATGATACTGAAACTTAAAATTTTAAAGTACCTTGCACTGATAAATATATTTAAAAGTTATATGTTTATAAAGTTATTAATTTGTAAAGGCAGTGTTACAAAATGTTCAGTTTATATTGTTTTAGATTGTTTCGTAATTTTTAAAGGTGTAAAATAACATATTTTTTCTTTATTGAAATCTATAAGACTTTCTGTAGTAAGATGTCTCATTTTCTGGTATATTATTGCTTCATGTTTTGTACCCTCATAAAATTTTGTGCAAATTTTTTTTACAGAAATTTTTATTTTCTATGATGATATGTATGACACTTGTAAATTGTTGTTTCAAAATGAACAGCGAAGCCTTAACTTGAAATGACATTTGTATTCTCTGAGTAGCATAAAAAAAACCACCTAGAATGAACTGTAACTTAAGCTCCAAACTACACATTCCAAAGAAGCAGTTGAATTAAACATTTTCATAGAAATCCCAAACCTGATGGCTCTTATTCAATTAGCTTTCTTCTTGTTAAAGATGTTGGGGACAGCCCACTTTCCAGGATTTCAGTTATCTCTTCAAAATAATCTCACAATGGGCAGAGAGCAAGCAGACCCTTCCCAAGAGTGGGCGTGTGAAACAGAGGTCTTTGGGGGTGAACGAGGTAGGACTGACCTCTAAGTGGACATTTTTTCCACCCAAATTATATTGGTTTGTATACCCGCATGGCGAAGTTGATTTTATGATACTAACAGATTACCATTAGTGAGTCTTGGTTCTGTAGGCAACAGGTAAATGTACATACTGTTTATATACCAAATTTAGGGAAAGGGGAAACTGGGTTTAGTGTTACAACTGTCTGTTTAGTAAGCCTTGGGGAAATGGCCATTCCTTTGGGGACCAAAACAATAGGAAATAATAATGACTAATGGCACACACACACACACCCCAAAAAGGACTCAAAAAACATGTTGAGCCAAACCATGTTAAATAGATCCTTTAAAAAGCTTGTCCCAACAGAGCTGGCAGAACCCAACCCCTACTCTGCAGGCGAGGGGTTACTTCTCTGCCCACCTCCAATGGCAGAAAATCTCAGTCCAGAGAGCTCTGGGACACACTGCTGCTCTGAGCAGTGAGCCAAGTTTCTTCACTTCCTGCTTCCTTTCCTGGATCCTGGAACCATTTCCCAGTGCTTAGCCAAGAATACAGAAAGCTCCCTATTGTGTGAGCTTTTAGGTCTTTGCCTAGAAAAGAGATAAAACCATATTCATTTTCCTAAGGTTAAATTCTACTGACATTCGGGGATAGTTCCAGAAAATACAATGCATGCAAGCAAGCGTTTTCAGAATTAATCTACATATATTTTATTTCTTTGTTTGGTTCGGTTTTGTTGTTATTATTGTTCTGTTTTGTTTTTTGAGGTAGGGGCTCATGTGACCCAGGCTAGCCTCACGCTCACTATGTAGTCTTGAACTTCTGATCCTCCTGCCTCTACCTCTGAGGTGATGAGAGGTGTATGCCAAATTTATACAGTGCTAAAAACAGCACAGGACTACATGTATGCTAGGCAAGCACTCTACCAACTGAGTCGCAGCACCAGTCTCCTAGACATAGTTTCAGAACAGCACAGGACCCATGGGCTACACTCTCTGTATCCTTTGAGGCTGTCAATGTGAAAGCTTCCCACTCCCTTCTCCCTTGTTGATAGTTTAGCTAAGCTTTTTGTTTGTTTGTTTGCTTAAGCTGATAAATCATTGACTAATACTTCCCAAATTTGTGGTTTAAAACATCATGAGGATTGAAGCATTTAATTTAAACATGAAAATAATTTACTGTCCTGTTTCCTGTGTGTCCTGACATCTTTCCTACCAATGGGGCTGAACACACTACACTATCTGTGCAAATCAAAGATGCTGCCTAATGTTTCCATTTTGTGGTACTTCTGCTTCCCAGTGGCAATCACAAGGCTTTGGGCTTCATTAAAAAGTAGTTCTGCCAAGAATTAGCTTTCGTTTCTCCTAAACTATATGTCCTAAGGAGTCTTAAGCAACTCAGAAACCTGGACAGAATAGGCCTCAAAAGGAGCCAAACGTGACATCAAAAGGCATGTGGACCTGGAGGTTTCCTCACCACCCGGTAATGCATATGAAAACAGAGAACTGACAGCCCTGAGAGGGGATCTGCTCCTTCACGGACGGAATGAACGAACCTCCCGTGACGACCTACTGAGAACACTAGGTGTTTTTACTTGTTTAAGGCAAGGTCTCATGTGTCCCTGACTGGCTCTGAACTGGCTACGTCACCAAGAATGACAATGAACTTCTAATCTTACTCTGCCTTCCCAGTGCTCCAAGCCATAGCCCTTACAGTGTCCATTTCTGTAGCAACATTATAATATCAAGTTTTAACAGTCTCTTTATCTCTTCTTACAAATGAGAACCCCAAGGTGCAGAGAGGTCACAGGGTGCACACAGATGTGATGTGTTTGTGCTTTCTGCCCTCAGTGACTCTGCTTCCTCTCAGGGTATTGTCTGCCAGGGCCTCCACAAACGGCCCTGCTACGAGAGCCTGTGTGGGAGATGAGGGATGCTGCTTAGATTTTATGTTTGATGGCAGGTGATAATTAACACATACTTAGGAGACAGGATGTGATATTTGAATACGTATTGCACTGTGTAATGATCCAGTCAGGGTGTTCACAAGATGTTTGGTGACCTGTGCCCACCCATGTCACTCTGTCACCACTCTCAGCCATTTGTCTTGGCATTTCATCTTCTGGTCACTTCTAAACCTTCAAAACTAAGAGAAGGCATCCCCGCAGGGTTTGTAAAAACTCCAAACTGAGTACATAGCAGTCTAGAAAATTAGTAAGTTCAAACCTCACTCACGATGCCCCACACCTGTAATCCCAGTGCTTGAGAGAGAGGTCCAAATCTGTCCTCAGCTATATAGTGAGTTCAAGGCCAGGCGAGGCTACATGAGACCCTGCCTAAATGAATAAATAAACAAGTAAAGAAAATCTCATTTGATTGTGGTCATTTTGCCACCATAACCTGCAAGGAACCTAAATGTGGTTGTTTGAAGAGGAAGAGTCACTGGTGTAGTATGCTGCTGGCTTGGAGATTTGGAAGTACTACAGAAGTGTAGCAAATGCTGGCACTCCTCAGAGCTCATCCAGCAAGGAGAGGAAAGTAAGTTTGGGAGCCAATTCCTCCAGTTAGCTTTTAGATCACACACAACAACTGAGTTCTAAAGATGTTGAAGCCCCAAATGGTCTCTTAATGTTTCCTTCATGGGTCTTTCTTACAAGTAGATAAGGTTCTATCAGGTCATAGAGTTTTATGGTCAAATGGGGCACCCGAAAATTGGATTTTTTCCATGTAAAGAGAGTCTCCGGCCAGGCCTGGTGGTGCACACTTATAATCCCAGTAAGGGGGAGGGGGAGGTAAGAGGATCAGGACTTCAGAGTCATCCTTGGCTACTAGCAAGTTCAAGATCAACCTTGGATACAGGAGACCATGTTTCAAAAGCCAAAAGTGAGGTCTTATCTCCACATGGAAATGAAATGGTTTCCTCTAGGTTGGGAACAAACACAGACTGCCTTCTGGCAGCTTCAACAGGAAAATGAATCACCAGGATAGACAGCAGCATCCCCACTCCTCATGCCCCCTCCAGTGGCTTGGTATCTCTGCTCCTCATTTGGACCAGAGCCAACTACACTTCTTTTCCTGAGGTCTTGTCACCACATCAGCTATGTAAGCCAAAGGGCTTCTAGTCACGATATGACCCTCCTGGAAAACCATCCATCCCCTGTGAGCCATCAGAGCTCCAGTTCTGCCCATGTCGGAAGCTTCTCATTGTTGACTAAGTTATGTTTTAATGACTTAGGCATTGTTTCTTTGAAGGTGACCCAGCTACTCTCCTCAGATCTCTTGGAATTCTGTCATGACTCAAACTCTCCAGCTAAAAGGAACTTACTTTTAGGGTCTTAAATATAACTTTCTTTTATTCTACTCTATATTTATACTACCTAAGGGCTGGGACTGTAGTTCAGTTGACATATTGTTTCTCCAGTACACATGAAGCCCCCAATTCAATCCTGAGAACTGAAAACTAAAAATGTTGTGGTACGCCCGTATAATCCCAGCACTCACGCTGTAAAAAATAAAATAAAAAAATAAAAAACTGAATAGGTTTGGTCCCCAGTACATCAGTGTTCAGATGTAAAGATTCCACATGTGTAAACACATGATTGTGTATGAGGGAGGAGACACACACACACACACACACACACACACACACACACACACACACACACCACACTCGGGTGTGGGGGGGGATCCTCTCTAACCATATCATACCCAGAGTTACATGCACCAAAGGGAGCGCTTCATCCTTCATGCAGAGAGGTAGAAAGCTACTGAGACAATAGTTGGAATGGAAGGAGGAGGGTCTCACAAAGCTCTCTTAGTTTCGGAGCCAATTTGAAGTGCAATTTGAGCTCAAATTCTTCCACCCCAGAAATGAGCTACACCTCACCATTAGAGGGGAACCTTAGTGGTGCCATGCTTTCCCATTTCTTCCTAGAATAATGGAATACAATTTTCAACCCACAGGCACGCACACACAGACAGACACACACACACACACACACACAACTTCAGAAGGTGACTACATCCCATGCTCTAGGCAAATGACAAATTAATAGTTGAAACTTAGGGTCATGGAGATTACAGCTATTTTTGAGAGACTGTGTCTAAAAAAAAGCAGTAAATAGTGCCTGAGAAACGACAGCTGAAGTCATCCTCTGCCATACTGTCCCCACTTGCCCATTTGTTCTAATTGGCGTGGTTATGCAATCAGAGCTGAGCATAGTATAGTGTTGAGAAAGCTGACAGGTCCTTAGATAGGAATACAGGACGCCACCCAGCTCCACCAGTGGCTTGGAGCTGCCCCTAGAATGGAGCCACCAAACGGTATTGCTCGTTTTCAAACAATTAACCAGGAAAAAGGTAAACTTCTGTGCCATCTAAATCACTGCTATTATGTCTTTGGTCCCAACTCAAAACCACATTTGATACATGCATGGCTACCAAATGAAAGGCACTCTACAAAACCTTAGAAGAGAGAACTGAGGCTGCACCCCCTTCCTGCCTCACTTCAAGTGAGATGAGTGATAAGAGAGTGGTGAACAGGCCCCTGTATATTCAGGCAGGAGGCATCAGCAAACACAGAAATATAAGAAAGCAGCAAGGTCAAGGAAAAGGAGGTATAGGGCTGGACAGTTAGTTCTGTGGTTAAGAACAAGCAACTTGCTGCTTGTGGTGGTTTCCGTAAGAATGACCCCCAATGGGGCCATGTATTGGAATGCTTAGTCATCAAGGAATGGCACTATTTGAAAAGGAGTAGAGGAGTAAGAGGTGTGGCCTTATAACTGGGGGTGAATTCTTAGAAATCCACAAGGATGCCCCCAGCTAAGACTCCTAGCAATAGTGGA